AATTATGTAAGAAAAAAGTGGGTATAAATCAAACAAATAAAGTATTTCCTTACGTTTAAATTTAAACAAGAATGACAACACCTGGAAGAACACCCAAGATCCTTTCTTAGGTATATACCTAAACAGAGCCGATAAATCTTCCATCAACGGCTTAATTTTCTTTTGTTGAGGTAACTGTGGCACCTTCAGCTTCACTTACTCTCTGCCCTGTGATTTATCAGTTCCATTTCAAGTTGAGGAAAAATCTGATTCACATCACTAAGTTGAACATTCTGTTTCACTCAAGGATGAACTCGGGAACCTGAGTGCAGCGGAGTCCTCTGGCCCCAACTCCTGCTTGGGAGGTTCCAAGGGCAACTGCTTGGCCTCTGTATGAGCACCACATTGGGCCAGATGGGCCCTTTGTCTGATCCAGCACAGCTTTTCTGGTGTTTGTAAGCGACACAAGCAGTCATGAGAGTCTTAATCTTGCTTTCAATTTTTCTTTCAGGCTGTTATTGAAGAGTGTTAGCATTAGCGGCGAATAAATGCTAGCACAGGATGTATGTCCTGCCCAGGCCCAACTTGCATTTTGCACAAGAAGGGATTGCCATGCCTTATTCTTCAGTTCCCCCATGAGTAACTGAGTACTTGGGTTCATCCATTCTTGCTTTAGAAAACTAATTAGTTCATATTGTATATTAAGCTCATCAAACATGATTAATCACAGTACAACAGCCCAGACAACCATGGATAAATGCAGGCTATATGATGCAGAAAATCTTCCGCTGAAAAATACAGCATCAACATTTTTTCCATGTAAAAATTTTCACTCTACATCAATGGTTTGAGCTTCTATATTCCATCATGGCTACCTGTCTACTTTGCCCTGAGTCCACCCTTCACCTCTATCCTGCCCAGAGATGTCTGCCTAGCACAGCCTAATTGAATGTGATGCCCTCCAGTTCATGCAAACTATGTAAGTAATGCCAACATCAAGAAGATGACCCCAGAATGTCAACTGGACTGGTCCCACTTACTAAAGAAAATCAGTGCAGTATCAGCACCTCCACAGTGCGACCTGCAAGATCCAAAAGCATTTTAAGCTGTATCTGAAAACTATCAGTCTTCCTCATCACATATCTCATGCTACTCATTTGTAGCACATGAATGGATGAAAGAACCAGCTTCCCTTCTAGTCTGCAAAACCTTTCCTGATGGTTGCATAAGGGCAGTCAAACCCTCAAGGTGAAGCAGCTCATTTTAAGTCAAAATTAACCTCTCTTCCACTATTGGCCAAAGTAAAACATATGAATGTGTGCACATCATCTATGGGTGCATGGATCAAAGAGCTGTTCATGGTTTAAAATTAATCTTCATATAAGGAAAATATATCACATCAAGTTGTTTTTAAATCCACAAGGCTCCATTATTCTTTAATGCTTAATGTGCAAAAATGTATAAACAGAAAAATAAACAACACACTCATACTCAACAGCTGAACAATTAAATAAAGTGTCAATGAATGTAAAATTCTTTTTTCAAGCAGTTTGTTACTTATTTGCTTGCCTGGAGCAAAAGGGTGGCCCTGGACAAGCACCTGAATTAAAAGACTATTTATCTGATACATTCTGCTTTAGCCACTACGAAAGAATGATGACAAGCTGGGCATTGAGCAAGAGCAGTAGCAAGTCAGGTGCATTTGTATGGCTGCCTTCATACCAGGTTGCACTTGCAGTTCTTCATCTCCAGTCTACCTCAAGGGCTACCAGAGAATTCGCTTCTGTGTGCATCTTTCCAAAGAGAAGGGAGGTGTAGGTGGCAGTTGGCCCAGCCTTCAGGTGTCAGCACAGAAAGAAGCTAGGGTCAAGAGGGTTTTAAAACAACTTTTTGGCTGATTCGCCGTGTTCCTTCCTGGAAGAGAATGACCTGAAAACAGTAGTGCATCCACTGGTAACTAAGCTGAATTTCAGCAATGCACTCTATATGAAGGGCTACTCTTGTGCCTACTCTGGCAAATCTAACTAGTACAAAATAAGGCAGTCAGTTGGGCTCTGGGACATCATGGAGGGACCACATATCACCAATGTCAAAGTATCTGCACTGGCTATCAATGTGTTTTCAGATACAGTACAAGATGTTCCTATTTACTTTTAAAGCCTGTCATGGCCTGGGTCCAAATTACCTTCAAGAGTACCTTTGCCCATATATTCCACCTCACCTGCTAAAATCCTCTGGGGATAATCTTTTGAAGTTTGCTTTTGTAAGGTTAGTGTCAATTACTCAAAGGACTTTCTTAGTGGTTGCCCTCAAAACGTGTGGCCCTACCTGTTAGGGAACACACTGGTGCATGCATAATTAGGTTCAACACTGAAGAGGAGGGCTTGGGGGCAGGAGGGGCCAGCATAAAGGAATTCCAGCACAACTGAGAGGCTGGTCTGCTGGCAGAGATGCATCTGAAAACCCAGACTGCTACCTTCAAGAGGTAGTTAAAGGAGTACTTCTTCTATCAGGCCTTCCCAGATTAGTTTACCCACAGTCATATTTAATATGCTTATTTTTCATTAAATGTGAATCACTGTTGTTTTTAATCTCCTGCAAACTGCCCAGAGCCTATGGGAATATGGTGGCATTGTAAGCCGCCTAGGAAGGCCTCAGCAATTATAGGTGGTCTATAAATCCATGTATAAATAGCATATTAAAATTTAAAACAAACAACAAACAAATAAAAGAAGGGGCAAAATGGGAGGGAGGGCTCGAAATAAGGAACAACTCCCTCAGTAATTGGCTCCAAGGTTGTTTTAAAACCCTCACCTTTAAAAGAAACAAATTCTAGCTGTATTTTCTCTCTTTTCTTATAAGTCCTGTTCCCAACATCCAGATTAGAGCATCAGCAAATTCCTCATTGCTTAGCTCTTATAGAAATATAAACCTTAAAAAAATTGACATTTTACACTAAACTACAAACACCAACTCTTGTAAAAAGTCATATCATGCCAAAATCATGATATTACACCACAGTCAAAGACTGTTCCATCATCTTGTAGCTTAGCTGAATTTCTTCACGAGCTCTTGAGATTGGGACAATTTGGATCAATCTCAAATTATGATTAAGAAATCAGGCATATCCCCAACAGGTTCACACATTCCAGCTGCTATTCCTCCTCCCTCATGCACTTCCCCCCTCCCCTCCCCACTATCACCACCACCACCTTTTCAGAGATACTGGTGCATGTATCCAACACTGAAGAGGAGGGTTTGGAGGCAGGAGGGGCCAGCATGAACAGATTCTAGCACAGAATGGTTATATTTCCACCAAACTTTAAGTGCAGTTTATTATGGTATTTTTTGCTCCCAATTCTAACCTTTATATTTGAGGCAGGTTTTATGCTGTAGAACTAAACATGCCAAGACTTACATTGCTATGATCCTGCTGTCATTCTGCAAACACTGAGACCAATATAACAAATCATGTTGTCAATGAAGATAAGATGATCTTTACTCTGAAATAGCTCCTAGTCTAAAATCCTCTGTCTAAGCCAAGGATATAAAACAAGCAACTTGCTGGATATATTTATGTGACTGGCATATTACAGTCTGATTCTCTGCAATGCCCCCCTTCCGTTTAAAAGGAAAGCTCCTTCTAGAATAAAATGTAAGCGAACAAATCGAACTAAGCACATTGCCAATGCAAATCTGATGCTGCATTATCTTCTAGGGTTTGCAGGCAGTCTGAAAAACCCATGGGAAAGTGGAAGCTTCCTGTCAAGACCTTATTTTCACAAGAGCAATTCCCACAAACATTAGAAGGTACTGAAATCATCATGCTACATAGTATCTCACTGCACATTGTCACAGAAGATTGAAATTATAAAAACTAACCTACTGGGGATCCCTCTTTAGTGAATAAAGCTAGAAAAGAGGAAGAAAAGGGGAAACATCTTAAGGCCCTAATTAAATACAAGCCCAATCTTGTAACCTCCAAATGTTATGCCAGGGCACACTATCACGCCAAAACAAATAAACCTGTTCTGCAAAAAAGGCTATCTTTTGTGTTTCTATGCAATTCACCCTAACTTTGTTTCACACCAATCACCCTGTGCTGCACTGGGTCACTCTGACACACTGGGTGCGGCTGGATGCCGAAGTAGAAAGCAGAGTAATGCACCACTCAAAGGAAGCTTCTTGTAAATCTCCCCCAAGTACTGTTCTGGTCTACACATTAAAGTATAAGCCTTTAGGAGACTTGGTTTCCTTGGAAGGAAAATACAGTATATAAATGTTACAAATAAAACCCACCTACAGTTTAGATTCAGAAAAAGATGCACACCACTATGATGAGAATTTGGGAAACACTGATATAAGAAGCCAGTCATGCTGAGCTGAGGTGCACTATGGTTACCACAAGGGTTCCTTCTTAAACACACTACAGCACTGCTCTACAAGGGCTTGGAGGAGGGAGGTGGCTTTCTTAGACAGTATCCTGAGTGCTGCTTATGGGCCCAAAGCTTGAAGTAGCAGTAGGACTCTATGCTACAACTGCTCCTGGGAGGGGCATTTTATCAAAGGTGAGACAGAGCTGAACAGCTATCAAATGGTCTACTAAGTGAAAGCCAAGTTAAGGACACAATGCTGCCTTAGCAGCTACGATGCAAATTCCACACTGTGGCAGAGCTAATCCAGAATCACAGGTTCAGGCCATCCAATGGTCCCTTAAAGTCTACTCCTCCTTTGATTTCTACACTTGTTCATGTCAGTACAGATAAATAAATGGTATTTCACCAGCCAATGTGGTACAGTGAACCCAGCCCAGTGCACTTACTATGTACCAGACTACAGCTCCCATCACCCACATTGACAATGGATGATTGTAGTCCAACACATTTGAAGAGTGCCAGGCTGTGTAAGATTTGACTTAAACAGTTGTACTAGGACCACAGCGATTCAGATTCTATTTCCTACTAAGCAATGAAATTCACTGGGTGATCTTGGGCTACTCACCACCACCGAGCCTAGCCTACCTCACAGAGGGGAGGTTAGAAGATGACAGTCATGTATGCCACTTGGAGATCCCTGGAGGAAAGGCAGGATAGAAAGGTAAGCCAAATCAATAACTAGAAATGGAATTCACAGATTGATGGCATTCCTGCCTGTGGCTAAGCAGCACTAGCTCAGAAAATCAGAAAGAACAGCTCTTAAAGTTAGGATATACAGGGAGCCCATTAGCAGAATTAAAGATTCTACATAGGCTTGAAGGAATTAAAATTGCTCTGAGGCTAGCAGAAGGAACAAGATGCAAAACATCCTGGTTCACTAGTGAGCAGAGGGGAGCCAAGCCTACTAAAAGCTTGCAGCAAAAATTCAAGCAGAGAGAGGAGTATACAGTGCAGGAACAACAAGGCTCCACCCAATGGCCAGAGGTTCCCTCTAGCATAAATGTCATCTGTATTGCAGCAAAACTCTCAGACTATTTTGGGACACTACAGAATTATTCAAGGCAAAAACTTTTTTGGGGGGGAGGGAGGAAAGGCACAACTGTCAATCCTTGAAAGCTAACCTGACCTGTGAAATAGGGGATATAAACACATACATACAGACACAAGGACGGACAGATGAACACACACTGACAGAGAAAGAAAGCATTTTCCAACAGCTTGGAGAGGAGTCAATGATGTTCCAGGAGGAGGGGGAAGGCCCAGACTGAGTCCATTTGCTTTTCACCATTACATACCCCCTTGCAACAGAATTGCCTTGTCAAGAATGCCAGAGCATCTGATTTCACAAAGTTCTCATTCCTCCCCACCCTTCACAGAAATACTGTTGCCCAGAATGACATGGCACCATCACTGCAAAGATGCAAACTGGACCAGTAAAAGGTGATGTCACCAGAGGATAGGGGAAAACATACAGAGGCTCTGTATGGACAGAGGAAATATCCCAAAGCATGCTATAATGTTACTACAGCAAAATACTGTAGCAATTCTGGTTAGTAGTACTGGTCATGCTCAATTTGAGACAATTAGAAACTGACAATAACTCCAATGCCTTCCACAGATATAAAACAAGTGCTTTTAACAGACAGATCTGTGCCATCTTTCACATACAATGCATCACCTCTACAGATCAGTGTCAGATCTTAAAAGAGCCACATGCCAGGGATTATGTTTTCCATGCTTGGAGATTAACACATACATTCCCTTTGCAGGCTGCAATTTATTTCATAAGAAAGTTAAGATGTAATCTAAAACAGAAGGTTTACCTAAATAGGTTGCTAGTATTCTCAACAATAAAGCAAGTAACGCTAGAGAGTTTTCCACAGTATTCTTGGTTAGGATATTTTGCAGGCCCAACAGAATGCAGTCAAAGAGAAGTACAAAGCATTTAATGTTGTTTACATAACTCTGTATAGAAGGTGCTTCACAATTCTTATCTCATTTGTCTCAATATTCCTTTGAAATAAGAAATTTCTGTTCCCATTTTGTAGATGAAGAGCATGTGAAAGTCCAACAGTTCACGGGTAAGATCCTGCAGTCTCTGTGGACCACACATGGCCACTAGACATATACCAATCTCTTTACCAAAGTTCCTGTCCAATAAAACACATACTTGAAATGTCTAAGAGAGGATGCCAAAATCTGGGTAGGAAAGAAGCTATATATAAGTATTCTGCACATGTCTAATTTCTAGGGAATTAACTTTGAACATGTCAAGTGACAACAAGCATACCCCTATGTAACTGCATTTGGATGACAGTATCTCACATTATTATGGTAAGGTATGAATTAGCCTTGTGCCCATGAACACAAGTCCCTTCCCTACACCTGAATGAAAACAGACAACTTCAATTAATCATAGTTTCCCTGTTTGGCCTAAAAAATCTACATTTATAAGTATTGGAACTAGCCAAACCTTAAACCAACTTCAAATAATGAAGCTTCTAACCACAATTTCCTTGGGTAGATGAAAACAGAACCTATAATTAAGTGGTGACTTTTGCTTTTTCTTCTCTAAGTAGGGAATAGAGCAAATGCTAGCATGGACAGAAGATGGTTTCATCTCAGTTTATTAAACCAACACAATCTCTCAACTCAGCCAATCTGCTTTGCTTTACTTTTGGCTTTAATCCAATTAAGTCACTCAGATTACAGGAAACAATCTTAGGTACAAGTGTGCGTAAGACATCAAAACATAGGTCAGTTACATACAAAATAAGATGTTTCCTCTGAGCCCACAACTGATACCAGAGAATAATGAAGCCTCCTTTTTGTGATTCATTCAAGCATGCACTGATTCAGAAGCTAGCTGGTCCAAGATTTACTGGGTGATCTTCAGCCAGTTGTCATCTATCTGCCTCATCTACCATACAGGATTGCTTGGACTATAAAATGCAGAAAAAGGAAAAACACATATACTACCTTGAGCTGCTTGTTTGTTTATTTCAAATAGTGACAAACTGTTGGCCTCACTTTTCTTCTCTACTTAAGGGGGTCCCAAGGTCTGAAAAATTTACAGAGCTAACATGCCTTCAGTTTTTCTTCTGGTTTTCTGCATATCAGGCACTGACAAGTGTTCCACATATGTTGGTATACCCTTTCCTGAGAAAGTACAAGGGATGACAGACAATAGCTATTTCATTCTCTACCAGTGGTAGTAGCAATGGACTACGCTGTAATATAAGAATGGAGCTGACTATTTCTCAACTATGTAAAATGGTTACTATAGTTGATGACATTGGGGGAAGAAAACTAGGTCCGAATGTTTTTGAAGTGCAAATATACTCAGTGGGGTTTGTTTGCAATGAGTGTGAAGTACATCTTCCTACATGCTTACAGAAGTACTCCAGCTCAACTAAAGTACTCAAATACTTATCTCTGTGCCCCCTATGATCTGACCATAATGCAGACTTTTCTTACATCAGCAAGAGCCTGAAAAATGGCATTCTAGAAAAGTCAGTTCTTATGACATCACTTGCCTTGATCCAAAAGTGACATGCATTAGGTCATACCCCAAAGCAAGCTGTTCCTCCATCTACCATGGGACTATTTCAATTGGCCTGATACAGTTATTATCAAAGGATCATTTATCGCTATCTTCTCATTAGCACTGTATATTAGCAATACCATCCTTTGAAGGTTTCCAGTGGTCAAATACATAGTACAGGGAGCATAGCAGGTATTAGAACCTAATGCAGATAAGTTGACTATAAATCTAACACTTTGAAAATTCACCTGAACAGCACAATTATTATTTTCTATTTAAAGAAATATGGATGACTTTTGCAAGGCTTAAAGAGAATTATGAAGACAGAACCTTGAGCTATTACACCAACAAGGTAAAATGTTGGTTGACACTGGCGACCAAAAATCTCTTCCCTGGCAAACACATTTGCACACAAGGATAACATGAGTCCAGCATTCTGTATTCACTGCCAAATACTAATTGTACTGGTGAGATTCTCCCACTTGCTCATGCAGGGAAAGTACTGGCTTCACTTCATGCTGGGCTGAGCAATACTGAAATAGTAAGACTCTCTAGCTGTTTTCAGATATCACTAAAAGAGAACATGGGGTAATTCCCACCTCTTCCCACTCAAAAGTTCCAGAATATTTGTTTTCTCACATTGGGTTGAAATTTGGGAGATGGTCATAAGCAGTGGGAGAATCTCCTAGCTCCTGAACCCCAGTGTAAAATGAACAACACCTCTCCTCCACTGGGTCCTCTGGAATATGGAAGAAAAAAACTGGAATCATTCCATCATCTCACATTTGACTTTTTAGAATATTTAGAATATTCATAGAGATTGTCACCACCTTGGAGCGCCTTCAGCTCCAACATAATTCAAGAGGATGGTAAAAATCCCTCCTACTTTCATATCTGTTGTGCATGCCTAAGGTCTTTGGGGGCAGGAAGGAGGACCTGGTGGAGGGAGAGCTTCTGAAATGGACACAGACTACAGCTGGCTACTAAGACCACCCAAAGTTTGTGCACTGCTGAATGTACAAGTCTTCCTCTTAGTTCAGTAAGTCAGTCTTATGTGTAAAGTTCTAACCACTGGGATTTTTTTTAAAGTTACAGTTAACTTCAATTACCATCTTAACCTGGCGTGTCTTTTGGCACACCATAGTTTGTGAATATGCACAGTATGTCTTACCAATATTTTACAGTTCTTACAGACTAATCTGCTCCAATATGTATAATAAACAAGTTTATGTAATGTCACTATCTTTGCTAGACCAAAACAGCTACACTTCAAGATATTGATGTTTTCCTCTCTTCTAAAACGATTTCATGGCTCATCAATAAATGAGGAAGAAACTCTCCTGAACAGCATCCCAGAGAAAGGGGATAAGTGACCTTTAATGTATCACTATGAAAGAAAGGGAGAGAGAGATTTCAACTCAGGAAGTTGTAACAGCTCAATAAGACAAAGCCATTCAGTCTTCCATGACCTTCACAACTGCTATAAATAATAAAAAGGATATGTCCCATCTGACCCCACAGGTTGGCCAGGGGCAGGTGGGAAATAGAGCAAAAAACAGAGAGACTTTCTAGAATATTCCAAAAAGTAATGCCAGAAGTACAAGGGCCTTCCAAAATGTGGGTGAAAAGGGGATACATGTGTTCTTTAGCTCTAGACTGAACTTGACACTAAAAGACCTTTATACTTTAGTTTCAAGGCAAAGTCAAGTGTAAGCATAATATTTACATTCTCAAAAAGCATCTAGGCCTTCTTCCAACCATTTCTCCAGAATGAAATGTTATTGCCTGATACCAAAGCACTGCTTCTAATAAATCATTCTGAACTGCATTGTCAATGTATAGTAGCTGTCCCACAAATGTCATACCACTAACATACGCTCTCATCTAATCTTGTAACCTCATAATAAATTTCCCAGATCTAGACCACAGACGAAGAACTATATATACATTTTTAGCTATGCTGTCAGGAAGCTACTCTCTAAAGAAGCAGCAATGAAAATCCACAAAAATAAAAAAGCAATATAGGCCTGGATATCCATGCATTTTCTAGCCCTACTAGTACAGTACCCTGTACACAATGCCTCAGTTCTACATTCAGATACCAATCTCAAGGGAAACACACACACACACACACACACACACACACAGTTTCAAAAAGTGCTTTCCCCTTCACAATCAGGCCAGGCCATACATTACAATAGCTTTCCAGATGTTGTACTATAACTCCCATCATCACCACACAGCAGGCTATGCTACTGGGGATGTAGGAGTTGTGGGCAACAGATTGGGTAGCCTGCATTACAGATTACCTGCTGCCGCAAAAGACAGTTGCTGACTTCATCTTCGGACAGCTACAAACGTACTCTGATGCAATTATTTGGGGAAAGGAAGCACTGGAAGTGTTACAGGGGTCAACTTCAACCTACTTCAATTGTGGGCAAGTTGAGTTGAAGTGGTAATTTTAACTAGAGGCAAAATGAATTCATTCATGGGAATCGAAAACAAGAGCATCTTATCCACACACTCAAAGGCCCTTTGCCTTTGGTTAACATTAATACATCTTTTAAGATCTGGTAAATAAACGATAGAGGACAGAAAAACAGAGAAAAAGGGATAACTGGATGCTGCATCATGTGGGGGACTCAATACACAGGCTGAGGACACATTCCAACAAGATCAGCTCTGCAACCAAGTATTGCCCAAAAGCAAGGCATGCTTTAAATACACTTATAGGTCAGAAGGCTTTCCCGTTCGGTCCTGCAACGAAACATGGGTTAGCCAGAGCGGTCACCACCTAATGCAATAGCCTTTGCCTCAGACGGGGGGGGGGGGTGCCCCCTCGCCATTAAGCTCCTGAGGTGCTGTCTATCCTACACAAGAACAGCAAGTGGGGAGAGTCCGCCTCAGAAGAGCCCCCACGCAAGGAGGGGCCTTCGAACATTTCATGCCAAAAGGCCCATTCCACTCTTCGTTCCTCCCCACACACCGCGCCACAAAAGCCCCGCCCCTCTGAAGGCTCCCTCGCCCTCCCGCCCCTGCTCCCTCCCTCCCTCCCCTTTCCGTCCAGCCCAACCACTCACCGGGTAGGGGCTCCTGCCTCCCGCCGGTCCCTCCTCCCCTCCCTCCCTCCCTCCGCACAGGCCGAGGCTGCAGGGCGAAGCCCGAGGTCCCCACGGGAGGGGAATGATGCTCAGGTAGCAGCTCCGTGCCTTGGGAGGGAAAGGGAGGGAAGGGAGCGGGAAACCGGGCGGCGGCGGCGGCTCTGGCAGGCGATAGCCCTGACAACAGATCACCAACCCCCGGCTTCGCTCGGCGATAACAATAGGGCTGCCGGCGCAGCGCCTCCTTTTATATAGCACGCACCACGTGACGAGCCTTCATAGTTTCCCTCACTCACACGGGTAGTGGCAGGTGCAGGGAGACATGGGAAATGTAGTCAACGCGCGCTCACGCCATAGATGCTCGGAGAGACGAAAAGGTAGAAGAGCCGTCCTGGGTAGCGGAGGCGGTGGCTGAGATGACAAGAGAGCGCGCTGCACACTGGGAAATGGAGTCAAGAAGAGACTGAAAGGAAAAGGCGCGTTAACTGCGATAAACCAAGGTTGCCGTTCTGAACACTCCATCTAGCGGCCGCTAAAGTTAGATACAATCCATCCGGCTCTTAGCTGAGCGCTATCTGCCTTCTCCATCGGAAATAAACGTCACTACGAGTATTTGAGTGAAATTTTGCAATTTAGCTGCAGTGTTCTACATTTTAGTGAAGAGCATTACACCGTTATTGCCAGGGTTCACACAACAGAACAATTCATACGCAAGGCTGAGTCTACTGTGGGTTGTTCAGTGTAGGCTGTTGAGTGAAAGCAGCTGTACTAACAAATTGCTAATCATGAGCAGCTCTGACAAAAAAGAAATCAGTTTATTTTTGGGTTGTTTGTGGTTAACAAACCATGGATTGTGCGAGTTGCTGAGTTCACACATGCTTCACTCACCATGTTAATATATTGCCATAAACAGGGACCAATTTCATTGTGAGAAAAACAGAAATGGCTATGGAAATGGAGACACCACATGCATCAAAAATGGATGTGTTTTTAACCTTAGGACGAAAACTAATCATACCATAGTCCTGTTAATTAAGATCTGAGAAAGCCAAATACATTATTCTATATTTTGAAGTTAGTCTGTTTGACTAACAGACTACAGAATCTCAAAAGGATTTATTCTTGCATAGGCATGCACAGAATTACACTGTGAGCTGATGCTAAGCCCAAGCACCTTGCTAAGTAGGTTTGGCCAAATCTGGTCAGTGCCTAGAATGGATGCTGCCTGGGAAACTTATCTACGCCATCTTGACTTTCATGAGAAAAAAAGACAAAATGTAAATTAACTTAATATAATGAATATTCCTCTACTTTTAAACTATTACTCTTCATCCAAACCTCCTCTCCCAAGGCTAAACTCAACAAAGCCATGCCTATGATAATTAAACTTATTATACATACAACAATGGCTCACAAACCTTTGCCTGTGTGACTTGATGGAATGGCAGAGAAATGAATTTGAGGAAATCTCACATATAACAATGGCACACACTGAACAGATGCAATATTAAACCTAGCTCACCAGACCAAGTGCTTTAAGTCAGGATTAAGCACATACAGAGGTCACCTTGTTTTTGATGGAGTGATCCCTGGGGCAGAGGTTGTGATTTTGCCACACCAAGGGATGCAGTCAGATTGACAATACCCTTAATGATTATAAGACCCCTAACTCAGAGGCTTATGAGCATCCACTACAGAGCAGGAGGGCCAACAGAGCTGCAGGATAACATTTTATCCTGGCAGCCCGTCTCTTCCTCTATGTGCCCTCTTCTCCAACGTCACTTTTCTGACCTCAGAGAAGCCAGTGAGCTTCTCCCCACACTGGCTGAGAGGGGAATCAGAAGATGGAGTATTGGTTGCCAGCTCTGAGGCTGACACTCTCTCTGAGACCTCGGATCTGAGAATCAAAAGAATCCTCCCTAGGGTAAACAGGAAAGCTTGAGCCTTTGAAACATCAGTGGCATGTACTACACATTTACTGCAGAGCAATCCCATAGTTGTTGGTCAACCCCCCACACCCTCACAGCCAAGTAGGATTCAAATCACAATACATTTTTGCAAGGATGCTCAGCAGAATTATTTTTGTAGTTTCTGCTACATAGCATACATCAATTCAACCCAAGAACTCATACATTAAGAACCCCAGTTTGAAAGGCAGGGAGATGAAGCAGACAGAAATTAAATTTCAGCAGTGAAAGTCTAGACAAGGGATTACAGAAGTGTAGAAATGGCAAAATGCACCTTAATTTTATGAACACAAAGCAACTGCAACCGAGGGACATTATCAGAAAAAAGTGGTCAGGCGATGCTTAAGCCAGTTTCAGGCACAGGATAGGAAACACCATCAGCCAGTGTCTTTTAGGGAGAGGGAATTTCTAAGCAGCATGGAGCACCACTCAATCCAATCCGTGGAATGATTCTGTTAGCATTATTTACCATTCAACCTACTTCTCCCCGTCGCAGCATTGTAAGAACTACACACACTCGCCTGACTATTCTCCAAGCAAGACAGTGCTATGCAGCGATATCCCCAGTACGTGTGTATCACAGTGCTGGAAAACCTTTAATATCGTCTTTGCAGTTTAGAATGAATCAGCAATTTCAGGGCCTCTGCTATAGCCAGTACACACTGCAGCAACTGTACCATGAATCAGTGCATACAGTTGGGAAACACCCCTTAGATCTTCTATATCCATGCCACTGCATTTCTTCTGGAACAGCTGCACTGATCCCAGGCAAAATGCAAGGGCAAATTTCAAGCTAAATGTGGTAATGACAGGGCTTCTGGATTTTCCCCATCAAACCTTTACTTTGCTACACTGCTGACGACACCGTCAACGCCCACACACATTATTCAGCTTTGGCATTGCCTTCAACCAACATACTCTACTGCTTTGTTAAATACCCCTCATTGTATATTTGTAGCCTAGTAACTCAGGGGGCCTCAGTGGCTTGCTGTGCCTTCTGCCAACTTCTGTTGGAGGCCCAGCTATAGCCCTATCTGGACAGAGATAACCTGGCTTCAGCTGTCTGTGCTCTGTAACCTCCAAGTCAGATTACTGCAATACTCTACAAACAGGGACAAAAATGTCCAGACATAGACCACTGGTTCTGGCCCACTCACACCGGCTACCTCTAAGTTTCCAAACTTGGTGCAAGGTGCTATTTTTGACTTATAAAACCTTACATGGCTCAGGACCAGAATAACCGATGGAATGCCTCTCCTGGCATAAACCTACCTGCCCACTGTGTCTGCCACCCAGCACCCTCCTCCTGGTGCCTCCTCTGAGGAAAGTTGGAAGGCAGCAACAAGGGAGAGAGCCCTCTTGGTGGTGGCCCTCAATTAATGGAATGATTTCTCTCATGGGGCTTATTTGAGGCCAACAGTGTTACCTTTTCTGAGCCAGGCTGACCTTCCTCTTCTCTCACCTTTTTGGTAGCATTCGATGACCGTTCAGCCATGTCCTGGATTTTTCTGTTTAAAGTTATTTTAGAATTGTATGTGTCTGTGTTTATGTGTATATAATGGAGATTATTCTTCTTCTCTCCATTTTATTCTCACAGGAACAGTGAAGTAAGCTAGGCTGAGAGTCAATGACTGGTCACCCAGGGAGCTTCATGGTTCTGCAAGGAATAGCATCTGACTTCACACATTCCAACATAACACTGTAACCATTACATCATATTGGTTCTCTGGTTTTAATCTTTGTAAACTGCCCAGAGAACTTTGATGATATAGAAACAGAAGAAATGAATTCAGTAAGGCAATTGCAACAGATTCCTTTTCCTCTTAGAAGTTACTCCTAATGCATGGATTATCTCTTGCTAGACTGAACTCCTTGTTGGCCTTACTCCTAACCCTAATTCCTATCTTCCCTCTTAATGCAGAATGCTTCCACTGAGACGCACAAAGACAAATTGCACAATATGATCACATATTACCAAAATCTCTGTAAAAATTGCTTTTTGTATCAGGTTCAAACCTCGGCCCCTTACTTGTCTTCAGCTCTGTCACATATCCCATTACCTAATTCATGGGATGGGTTCTCCATAGTTTGTCAACCATCAGCCATAGGACATCCATCTGAAATAGCTTACAGGCCACGTGAAAAGGTTCATATTTACACATTCTAGCATACCAGAGGCATTAATGCTAAACAGCAGTAACAACAGTAGAGACTGAGCATGAAGCAAATATGCTAAAAAGTGTATGGAACTTACAAAATACTGAAAGTGTGTGTGAATGCCAGGCTCCCATAGTATCAAGACGAGATTCCTCTTTTACAATGTGCTTCTCATGCTTCACAATAGCCCCAGGCCCACTTGTCCTCTATACACCATTCCCCATGCTGGCTCAGCATGCCTTTGTACCATTGACACAGAAACCCAAGTATTGCAAAATTATCAAGGACAGGACCTAAAATATGCCTTAGGGGACCAGGCCTCATACGCAGTGGCTACAGTTCTGTGCAAAATATTGCCTAATGAGCCAATTTTTGCCAGGTTTGGCTACCTGGCTCACATGCAACACTGATTGAGCTAAAGTTCAAAATGCAGAGCCAGGCCAATGAAAACGCTGCACAATTGCTACTTTATTTTGAAGTAGGTGAAAAACAGAAAATTATTCTGGAGGAATGTGTTACTTGATAACTGCTTTGTACCTGCCATGACAATTAATGAGCCGTATGTCACTTAATGAAAGCTCCAGGCAATTTTCTGCTATATCAGAGAAAGCCGTTACCAACTTTTGAAGAGAGCTCTTACTACACAAACTAGTTGAAATTCTTGCTAAGCAAGCTGAATCATTTATTTACTAAAGCTGCTAAGGCACAGCTATACTAACAGCAAACAGAAATGGGAGAAGACCTTTTAGACAGTTTAATTTAAAAAAAACCCTAACAAGGTATTTATGCCCAAAGGTCCTTGGCAATTCCTGCCCTGGTGCACTCTCCTTACACACAAAGCAGCTCTACTTGAGTAGGGATATAATGTATACTCATGTAATTATGAATGCATGGATGAATTCCAAAATCTCTATTATTATAATATCTATATTAGATAAACCAAAAGATCACAAATAATGTTCAAAAGATCTCTTCATCAGGCAGTGTTACAAAACCTAGTGGGGAAGGTGTGGGGTAAAGTGAGCTAAAGACACAAAAGTTTGCAATTTTTTGTGATCTTTCCTTTGGCCTAAAGGTATTACCCTAAAATGGACTCTGGAACTGCACTTAGGGCCAAAATGGCCTGCTTATAATGGGTGAAACTGATCTTAATGTACATTAATGCAAAAGTGAAATGGAAACTTTAAGCAAGTATAATGCTTGTATATTTTTCAATACACTTGCCACATGACTAGAGAAGAAGATCCAAATGTAATTTTCAGCCTAAACCTGTCAGTGTAAACACTTATACTACACTGGCTCAACATAGGGAAATACTGTATGTACACTTTCCATTTCCTGTGGCACCTTCTGCCATGAAGAATGATCGAGCAGATGTGATTCAGTTCATGCCTTCATGTCATCATGATGTCTGCTGCATGATCTATTATGGTCTACTCATATTTTTGTTAATACCAAGAACTGGATGGAATAAAAGAGACCCATAGCCATGTTTTAGCATTCATAGTTTCATTCTATGGTTTAGCAGAAACAAAACAAAATGAAACAAAAATAGACATAACAAACTGTCATCGTGCCAGAAAGAATGGCAAGCTTGTGAGTTACCCTCACTGATGATTGCAGAATACCCCCCTCCCCACACACACAATGTCATTTTAAAGCACAGATTTGGGGAATGAAGTAAAATTATGCTGCCACTTATGCAATACAAATTATATTTAGCTGACAGACTGAGTAGAGAAAGGACAATGGCCAGTTCAGAAATCGCAAGCTCAGTCTGATCCTAGTTAGTGCAAGCCTTAATCAAGCCCTTCAACCACATTTTCTCAGGAAAGCTAAAGAGAACTCTGGTTCAAGAAACAAGGTTGTATTATCTGAATCTGGGTGTGCAAGGGACAGAGGAAAATGAAAAGGAGCAAGGACACAGACACATGGCTTGTTCCTGTTCTGATAAACCATGTTTATTGGACTGAAATCATGATGGCAGAACCAACCCAGTTGCTTCTGGATTTGTATCACAAAGCCAGTAACAGCACAAGCACTGTCATTTGGGCTGCACTATCCATTATTAGTGCTGGAAAGAGGCTGGATCACAGCTTTTGTTTCACTGGGGAATCTCTGCCAGTCAACTGGTAGTAAAACCCTGTCCAATTGTGTCCCTATACATGGCACGCCAGCCATTTCATGGAACTGAAGTAAGTGAAGTTTGACTTCCAAAATGTAAGCTTCTCTGAGCTCTCATTAACTGGCTTCCATCATGGTTACTAGTCTGATCAAACACTCTGCAGCACAATGCAAGTTGTTGACTGCCAAGTCTTAGTAATCCTTAAAGGAAACAGAATCCAAACTTGGCTGACTACCATCTTGGAAGGTGGGCTACACCAGTAAGTTCCAGCCTAATGAGCAACTGAACTTGGATCACCTGAAAATAAAGTTGATTTGTTCACAAACACACACACACACAATGATGGCAATTAACTTTTTAGCTTCTACTTAAAAGAGCTATAGAGATATAACAGTCACTGTTTTCTCTCTGTTATTAACTTTATTTCATTTTACCTGACCCACTTTCCTGCCTCCTTGTGAGGCATCATACTAGTTCTAATTTAAATAAAGGTTTTTCCACTCTTGGTAAAAAATATCATGAAAAAATGATGTAACATCTCAAATAATCTGGTGTTCTTGGAAAAATAACTAGATTTCATTTAATAAAATGAAACAGAATTATTTCCCCACTTTTCAGGCATAAGCTAAACACACCCCACATCAGCTTCCAGCTCTATGGCCACTGCAATACCTGTGATGACCTGATAGTCCGTTATATTACTATCACTGTGACACATAATGAGGTTGCAGTTTGCAGAGATTTGTCACTTTGCTAGAGGGAGTGGAAGATTTAGGAAGAAGTAGGCTTCATCCCTCAGACAAAACTGTCCATCTGTAATTTTAGGTGATCATCACTGAATATGTAGCAGTTTCCCATTTTCTCTCCAAGGCTCAGAAAAATGCATTTTGGCACCCATTTCAGAAGGCTGCAGCCTTTGCCCAAGAGACTGGTTGCTGCCCTGGAAACAGATACGCAGGCACTTTGTCACCATGGAGCTTTCCCAGGCTTTTCAATAAACATTATAAGCTATTGCTGCTTGAGCCCTTTCTTGGACAATGTTACTATGGCTTCATGTGGGATTTCATAAAAAACCTTTATCAGTTCTACATATCCTAAACAAATTACCTACATGGTTTTTTAAAACATCGTCCTTTCTTCTCCATCTTTGAACAAGCATGAGAAGGCTTTGGACATCCAGTTCACTATTTCTTCTTGCGCATTTCAAGCCTTTTCATCTGGAGTCTCGAATGCAATTACAAGCAGCTGTACAGATGCTAGATTTCATAAACCTATGACTCTGTTCTAAAGTGTATCAGCAGAACAAGCAGTCACCCATCACTCGTAATTGTACACACACACACACCCAACAAAGTCAGAGTAGGAAGAAAGTCTTTACTGAACGTTGGTCAAAAAACTGGAAATCCCCTCAGTTCTATCAGCCAAGCACACATCCAAGAAGCTTGAACAGCTGAGACAGGTCATCAAGGGGCTTCCCAGACAGGAGTGCCCAAAGATCCATCATCATGTTCAGTTGTCCCTTATCAAAGTGCTGCAGTTGCCCTCCGTAGGCAGCCTCTTTTCATCTTCTCTATGCCCCCCGCCCATATTACCCATAATTGCAAAGTTCCATTACTGGTCAGCCTGGCCATTTTAACAGGCAAGTGGGTGTCGTCATATCACTTTACTCCAAATAAGCAGCAGTGTGCTTAGACTAAGGTCTACTGCATGCCAGCAATGTTTCAGTACAGGTTGTTCACCTAACAAGAGGCAACATGCTGTGGTAGCAAGATGAGGCTGTTGCTTTTGTGGGCTTCTGTTGGTGTCCAGGTACTGAAACAGGTAATGAAGCTGTGTATGTGAGAGAAGATGTGTCATTTTCAAGTCCCCGTCTATTTTAAGATGATGTGGTAACTATCATTGGTTTCAGCTGCAAAGAAAGCACAGCATCAGAATTTAGTTGAACATAATGCAAGCCACTGTCCTTCACCCACATCCCACTGAATGGAAGGCAAGGTAACACATGCTATGTAACTCTCAGGGCATGCTTATTTTGACATCCTAATGATGGGAGGGAATGGAACTCTATGTTTTCTAGAGAAAGGAAACGCAGGCTAGGAAACAGGATAACATACATTATTGAATAAGTGGGTACCTTTCATTGTGTCCAAGACAAAACATGATTCATCTTGAAAGTTCTGTATCATCTATAAACAGAAATGAAACATAGGAGCTGCAGAGATCCAGGCATCATTCATTCACAGAGGAGAACATCAACATTTTTAGGTATGAGAAGTGCTCCAGCATAAAGATTCCTTCTATCTTTCTTAGCAAGACATTTGCCTTGAGCCAAGTGCAGAAGCTTCATATCCTTAATACACTTCTTATATACCTACTGCTGAAATACTTTATTAAAGCCAAGGCTCCTTTAAAGACAGTTCTATTGTGCCTACTGTATTTTAAGGATATTTTCCTTAGGATGATTCAGGGTTCCAAGATAACAATTTTCCTTATTTAAGCAAACATTTTTTGTTGTAGTAATTTCAGAAACCGTGGAACTATGCACAGGGCTGTAAAATTGCCATCTCTTGCTTTCTTGGCTTTCTCTGAAACTACAGAGAACAGACCATACTTTGTAAAATGGTAGAAGATATCTAAATCAAAAAGGTGAGAGGAAAAGCATATCTTTTCCACTTTCCTTCAGGAAGAAAATACTTAGCAGGAAGGGAAATATTATTTATTTATTTAAAACATTTCTATGCCGCCCCCATCGCAACAAAGCCTCGGGGCGGCTCACAAAAAATACATAAAAACATACATAAATAATAATAATATAATTTAAAAGAAAAAAACATTTAAAAACCCCCGGTGCATTCTCGGCTAATTTTAAAATCCTAATTAATTCAATAATTTAGCAATTAAAGTAAGTTTTAAATAAAAAGGTCTTAGCCTGGCGCCGAAAAACAAATAACAACAGTGCCAGGCGGACCTCTCTGGGGAGCGCATTCCATAGATGGGGCGCCACTGCAGAGAAAGCCCTCCTCCGGGTACTCACCCTTCACAGAGGGTTCCCAGAGAAGGGCATCCGTTGCTGATCTCAAGGGGCGGGAGGGCATATATGGGCACAAGCATTCCTTTAGATATCCAGGTCCCAAGTCGTTTAGGGCTTTATAGGTCATAACCTATAAATATGCACCATGTACCAGGAATTCTGCAACCCAAATAAGTTATTCAAGTCTGGGTTCTGGCAGATTTTGTTTGTATGCTTACCATAAATTAGCTTGGGCACATTCCCACTTAGAAAGATTATTAAAAAGTTTAGTAATGGGTTAGTCATGATCAACTAATCCCATTGATGACTAACAATTAACAACTGCTGGACCACATCAAGTTCCATTTTGCTTAGTGATCAGTAGGCCTACAGCCTTGTTTTAACAATTATTCCCAGTGCTTCCCTAAAGTATCAGAGCAGTCTTACTTCATCACTGATGAGGATGTGTATCCCTGTGGGCCCTTGTTTATAGATCTGGCTGATCTGTTGAGAGGAAATACTAAAGAGTTGAGCAATTTTCTCGGTCAGCTCCACAGCAGTCAACTCCTCCAAGTAGATGGCATGGTACACTGTGGAGGTGAAAACAGTTAACAGGGAACACTTCCAGGTTAGCCAGAAGGATCCAGGGAGAAACCATACTACTTAAAAAACAATTAGCAATCAAACCAAAGAAAAAATACTTAATAGCTCCTGAACATAAAACTCCCCAGACTCTGAGAAAGACAGGGTCATGTTCAGCTATATTCAGTAAGATTAAAAAGAAAAATATACACTTCTCTGGGCACTAGATATTTGCTCAAATATGTCTGATGTCCAGTAGATACTGCTATCTCCATGATAACTTTAAAGAAAAAAGTATTTATATCCAAGCATTTTTCAGAGCAAGATATATCTTAGAAGAGGTGTTCCTTTCTCTTGGTGGTTTAGGAGTGTTTTTTTAAATGTGATTAATTTCTAAAATCTATTAAACTGACTAAGTACTGTATTCCCTACTTATTTTGAGTCACCACAGCATTCATTGGAAAAGCAGCACCATTTTATCTTCACAGTAAGGCTTTACTGGATGAAGACAAGAAACAAAGGTCATGTTAACAACAGAACCAATAGTTTCCGCTTACCAGAAGACAACTGACTCAACGGCCTAGCAAACATCTTCCCACTGCAAGAGCTTGTGGCTCCCTCCCTCAACCAAAGCACAAAGTGCTTTCATGCAGCCCTTACCAAAGAAAGTATTGTTGGCTGCATCCCCATCTTCATGCTTTTGTTGGTCCTGCAGCTGCTGTGATTCTTGGCAGACATAAATGGTCAGTCTTGGCCATACCATTCTATTGAAATAGGAAAATGTGAACATTTCAGACTTAACTGAGTAAGTTAAAGATAAGGCTGCAGAGAGACAACTTGAATTGGCTGTATTTTAATAGCACTTGCAATTTGGCAAAACATCTCACAATTGAGTTTGGCCAAACTGAAGGTTCAGGAAAAGAACACAGAACAGTCCTCTTGGAAGTGTTTGCCTTCAGAAGGCTAGATGGGTGTGCATTTAAATGTGAGCATCAAAAAGTATAGCATTAGTCATAATTACCAGATTTCCCTCCCAATAGCATTCCATTGTTTACCTCATCTCTCAAGCTTACAGAGGCTGTCTAATGGAAGCTTTCCACTAACAGGAAACCAAAGAAATATATAAATACTAATTTAGTATATGAAAGCACATGACAAACCCATCAGAACAAATCTTTTAATATGTCTGCCTAAGACCCAATGGTAGGCCATTTCCCATCTGTAGGATGTCCCCTAGAGAAATTTCTGGTATTTCTTTGTAGCCCTTTCCTACCTCTCTACAGAAACACTGCTGCAGAACAGCTCCTGCCCATGCTACTGGGGGTAATGTGAGAAGCCGGGTCAAAAGAGCCCACTAGACTGTTTACCAACATTACTCCAGCTGCTTCCCAAATGGGCCAGCTGTGTAGGGAGAATCTGTTCTGCGATGGCTAAAGCAGTCAGAAGGATATGGAGATTGGGCCAACAATACAGCTAAAGCCTGCCAAATAATGCCAACAGTTTGGGCAAGATGATGGCTTTCATCACTGTTCTGTACCGTACCTCATTTCCCTGGAATGAGAGGTGCATGGTAAGTTGGCAACATTTTCCCCAACCTGTTACAGCACCCCAGCCCCACTGCAGAAACCACCTGTGTCTTGGGAAACTGCAGAACTTGTGACCTGTTGCTGCTCAACTCGGGAAAGAGGAAGAGATATGAAGTGAGGAAAAGAAAAAAGATGCAGTGCAGATGGGGAAAGAGGGGCTGCTGATCTATGGCTGTGGATGGGAAATCATGCCAGGGAGTGGGAAGAAAAGAAAGAGAGCTGATAATGGGATTCACAGACACTGATAACGGTGGGGTAGAGAAGCAAAGCATGTTGTAAGATGCAGCACAAAAAAATTCAACATTAAAAACAAGGAGGCTTGCAAAAATACTTCTCTGCTGTTAACAGAGCAGTGCACCTCTCCTGAGCTATTAGATGTGTAGAAACGGCTCCCAAGAGTGGTTTAAGTTTAGCATTAGGTGCTGTTAGCAAGATGGTCTCTCAGTGCACTCTATTTAGTATTGTCAAGGTGGCTGAATATGTGCAGTGTACTGTGTGATCATGCATTATTTATGTTGTTCAGTTACATGGACATTTGCAAGAAGAAAATTGATCATAAACATTTTTTTAAAAAAATACCTGCAATCTCCAATCTGCACTCCAAAGTCATACAGTCCTGAGAGGACTACAGCATGTTCCTTTGCCAGATGACTGAATCAGCTTGCTTCTAATTCTGTGAAGCAAGCCCTTAGAACTAAACCTATATAAAATTTTTTGATAAGATTTTGTTTTCACTCAAAGGTAGAACACTATTTTCCATCTACAAATGGGGATTTTCTCACTGATAGAGAAAAACACGAGAAGATAAGAATGTAAGCAGAGCCCCACTGGATCAGAGTAGTGGTCCATTTAGATCAGCACGGTGGCTGGCCAGCTGTCCTTGGATACCTGCAATAGAACCCCTGCATTTCAAGCTGTTTTATATACAGATATTTGACCTATCTATCCCAGTACTACCTATTTCAACTTACAGCAGTACCCGCAACGGCTCTGACAGAGTTTTCCCTTGGCCCTACACCCAAAGGTCCATTGATTAGAGGTGCTCTAGACAGAACCTTCAGCCTTACGCATGGAAAGCATGTGCTCTGTCACTAAGCTATGGATCCTTCCCAAGCACAGGAAAGCTCGGGGCCTGTCTACAGAGCCCTCAAGAACTAAGCACTCTGCATCACTTGAAACGATTTCCTTGTGCCACTGTTAGATGCTTAAAAAAACAACAACCCCAAATAACACATTGCACACAAGCATATCACTATTTTCTGGATGTTCAAATGGTTTGAGCTTTTCCCTGCAAATGTTCAGATTGTTTTTGAGCTTTTATTGCCTCATGTAGCTGTTTTGATTGTTTTGTTTGGAACTTTTGCACCTTGTTTTCCATTGTATTTTATGGTATCTTGTATATTGCATTAATGCATTTTCTAAACCACCCTGAGAGCCTTTTATGACTAAGTGGTGGTACAGAAATTTAATTTAAATTAAATCATCATCATCCTCAGTGTCATGCATGTAACTAAAACAAAAATGTTAGCAGTATGAAATGTGGATGAAGCAACTCTCATTAACTCCATTGGTCTCCATGGAAGATCTATGGAAGATTAAAAAGCTATGATGTCCTGGAAATGGGCTAAGAATGAGTTCCATGACCAGTATAAGCAGCCAGAAAGCTCAGAAAACAGTCTTTGCTTGCTCTCAAGACCCCATAGTGATCCTATGGATTAGTCAATTCCATTTCCCCATTTCTTACCACAGCAGCAGGAAAAGGATATCTCCTTAAGTACCTACTTTCTAGACTACTACCCAGTCTTCATCTAGCTTCTGTGCTCTGATCATAAATGCATCCTGCATCCTCTTGTTCTCCCATCTTGTCACCTTACTGCCCCTTTTCTGTCCCCTTGTAATTTTCTCCCCTTGGCTTTGTGAACATTACCTTAATGCACATACCTCTATAGACTATGGCAAAGGTAATTAGCATAATGGTCAGAAGCAAGTATTTCAAGAATCCATTAAGAGAGATGGAGAAGCAGCAACAGTGCACACTCTCTCTCTTTTTAAAGTGCAAACCATCTGGAATAAATGAAGCCCACTGCATTCCCCCCAGCTACTAATATCTTAACAATCAGAACTGGTACATTAACTCAGTGGTATGGTTTGGCATTAGCAAAGTCTTGCAGAAGCCTAACCCTTGTTCACTTGAGAGAGATCAGTATTTTTCTTACTTCACTTGAAGAACCAGCTAACAAAAGTCTCTCCCTGCAACCCAAAGCAGCAGTGGTGGAAACAGGACAGGTGGGCAAGGTATCAGAATCAGACAACTTTAGATGCTTTTCACAAAGAACTGAAAGGAAACTATGAACCAAGCTTTCTTTAATGGAGAAATCACAGAGGTGTTGTCATCTGTCCATGTGCAAACCACCTTCCTGAAGGTGAAAAACGCTTCTGGTTAAGTTCTGTCTAATGCTGAATATTCATTTCAAATGTCTAGGTCAGGGCTACTCAAACTTTTTCACCAGGAGGCCAGCTGAAAGGTGCCAGTGCTGGGCGCGAGCTGGAAAGGTGGTGCTGGCAGTGTGCCTGGGCCGGTGAGGGGGCGGGGGTGCGGCAAGGCCCGGACAGGCGGGCGCAGCAAGGGGAGGGGAGGCCCGGGTGTGCAGGTGTGGCAAGGGGAGGTGTGGCGGGGCAGGCGTGTGTTGCGAGGTGGGCACGCAAGGCAGTGGCTTGCTCGCTTGGAGATCGTTTTCTCCAAGCAAGTCCAAAACGATCTCCATGCGAGCAAGCTGCCACTGCTGCCCGTGTGTGGGGCAAGGCAGGCAGCGGCGTGCACGGCAAATCCAAAACCTCTGTGGCGGGCTGGATAAATGGGCATGGCAGGCCGGATCCAGCCCATGAGCCGTAGTTTGAGGACCCATGGTCAAGGTGCTCAAGAAACCAAGCACCAGTATTTTCAAGTGCCAAAAATAAATATAAAATAAAAATAGTATCCTAAGGAACCAGAAAAAATACTTGCATTAATTTCCAGTATATAAAGCCCCAACTACTATTTGAAGGCACTACTGATGGGAGATACATACCGCCCCTTCAATGCATTGAAGAGTCTGATGCCATCAGCAGGACCACATATCTGTATGACATCTTCTCTGGTTAATTTCAGTAAGTCTGCTCCTAGGATTAAAAAACAACCACCACCACCAGATGGGGAGAGGTAATGAAGAACACTTTTTTCAACACATAATACCTTCTAGAGACTTCGCCTGATTGAAAAGACCAGCACTTCCAAGTTTCACATTCAGACATGTGCTAGATGCAACTCTGCAGAAGGGAGATGGCCAGCCAACTCATGAGTGCTCTCTGCTATGGTTTTTAAGTAGTGCTCCGGTGCCTGATTTAGCAATACCTAATGGGAACCAGTGGTGAAAGCGTGGGGGATTCAGCACAGGCCCCTACCTTCCACATATAATACACGCATCACTTTCAAGGCCCTTCTCAGAAGTTGCAACTGATCTGCACTGTGAACACAGTGGCAGTGAAGTTACAGCAAGATGTTCCCAGGTCATCATAGCAGGGGAAATGAGAAGAGGGGGAATAGGAAGAGCCACAGGGCACTGACACTCAGATGTTTAAATCTGAAAAAGCTTCTGAGATGTTTGGGGTGAGGGGGGTCAACAAGAAGATCAAGGAATATAAATGCTTCTTACACTGCAGACCAAGAAGGTGTCTCTTAATACCTGAGAAGTTTGTGAAAAGCCGTGAGAAAGTTGAGAAGCGATTCCTGTGCAGCCACTGCTGAGCTTCCTGAGGTGTGGATGTTGGTAGGAGGTTCTGGAAGAGAAAGAAATTTGATTGCTTCCTTACAAAAAGGACACAGAACACTTAAAAATTCACATCAACTTCTGGATAGGTAGGTTGTATAGCTTAACTGTTGTTCTTTGAGTGGTCATCTCTACATTCACATATAAGGATACTGTGCCTGTGCAGTGCCACATTTGGGAAGATTCCGCTAGCTAAGCCTAGAATTTTTGGCAGGAGCCCTGCTCCCCTTCCCCGTTACATACATAGGCAGGCTCCCGCCATTTTCTCAGTCTAACCAGAGACTGACATTTGCCCTATGTGTAGATCCCTATGTAAATAGTAGGTAAGAGGAGGGAAAAGCATATTTCCACCAACACTGATGTAGGGTCGGCAAGTAGGTTGTGTGAATGCACAGATGACCACTTCAAGAATGACAGGTACAAGTATGCCACCTGACTCTTCGTCATGGTCTCTGTGCATCACGCATATGGGTGACATGCAAGCATACCATTAAAGGAGGTGGGAGGTGTCATTACAGGAGAACAGATGACAACACAGCCTGACCAAAAGAACAATCCTTGTCCAGCTTTCACATTGAGCTGATAAGAGATGGATGAATGTGGATGGTGCTGACCACAGAGCTGCTCTACACAATGCATCCAGCAGCAGAGTCCAGTATGAAGGGCTTTCGCTGTTGACATTGCCCTGGTGGAATGAGCCCCAGCATGATCTGGCAGGCCCAAGTCTGCTAGCTGGTACACTAACTTAATTGCCTCAACAATCCTGTAGGTGAGACACTGGGGCCCAACCGGTTCACTTTTGGAGTGGTCTGCATATTTGATAAATCGTTTTCTTTTGTGCACCAACTTGGTTCGAGACCAATAGAGGGCTAGCATGTGCTCAACACTGAGCATACGCAGAGCCCTTCCAACATCTGTAGATGGTGGTGGGCAAAATGCTGGAAGCACTATTTCTTAATTGACATGGAATGAGGGTGATGCTTTAGGGGGGGAAGGATAGATCAGTGTGGAGGACAACCTTTTCTCTATGAAAAGTCCAATATGGAGGATCTGTCTGTAATGCACACAGTTTGCTCACCCTGCAAGCTGAGTTAATTGCCACCAGGAAGGAGACCTTTCAGGAGACGAGGTGCAGGTCTACAGTTGTGAGTGGTTCAAACAGTGGCTTTGTCAGCGCATGCAAAACCACAGATAGACTCCAACTGGGGACAATAGATCAGATCAGAGGATTCAGGTTTCTGAGACCTTTCATGAAGCATTGTGAAAGGGGGTGGGAGAAAGCAGAGCAGCCCTCAAGGGACCTCAGAAGACGGAGATTGCGGATAAATACACTTTGATAGAGGTTGGTTTATGTCCTCTTTGATGTAGAGTGTGCAGGAAATCTAATATTCTTTGAATGGTTGCTGTAGCTGGATTGAAGGAGCGGTCTTTCGTGTTAACCCCTAAATTTTGTCCATTTGGTTGAGTAAGAGTGCCAAGTGGTAGGATGCAATGAAGCCTATAAAATGTCCTGGATTTGAAGATCCAAGTCTGCAGCTGTGGCCATCAAGTAATCGGGCAGATTATCAAGAGAAGTGATAATGGAGATGTGTGCCTGGGGTACAGTTTCACTTGGGACAGTAGATGTGGACTTTTGGACAGGTATGGGAGCTGGTAAGTGGAGCGGATTTAGGGAAGCAGTCGTGCCCATTAAGAGATTAGCCATGCCGTCAGGCAAAGCCTTTGAACTTCTGGATGTAGTAGCACAGCCCCAAGTGGTTACAAATAGTACAGGTGGTTTTGCTAGATCACAGTAAGCCCTGTTTAGTGTCAGCTGCTAGCACCCAGACATCAAGTAGGGGTAGACGTGTATCCCCAGGAGTTGCAAATGTGCACACATTGGAGCCATGCATTTGGTAAATACTCTCAGTGCTGCAGAGAGACTGAATGGTAGCACCTTGACCTCGAAGAGGTTGGTACTGATCTGAATGTGTAGGAAGTGAGTGTAATTGGGACTGATGCTGATGTGAAAGCAAGCATCCCTCAAATTGATGGATGCAAACAAGTTCCCTTTTTGTAATAGCAGCATAATGCCTTGCAGGGAGATCATTCTGAACTTTTTGGGTGGAATGAAACACTTTACTCCCTGGAGGTCCAAAATTGGCTGTTTACCGCTATCTTTTTTCAGAATGGTGAAGTAATGCAAATAGAAACCATTCTTAGGTTTAGATGGGTCTACCAGCCAGATCGTCCCTTTTGCTAGTAAATTGGTGACTTCCTCTGTCAGATTTGGAGACCGAGGAGTGAAGTGGACGAATCCAAGAGAAGGCAAGGTCTCAAATTCAATTTTGTATTAATGCTGTATTATGAAAAGTACCCACCAGTCAGATGTGATGGATTCCTAGGTGGGAAGATGACAACTTAGGTGATCCCCAAAAGGGGTGGGATGTTAGATGAGGGATGGTTCGTGTCTTTCTTCAGTCTTTCTTCTTGGGCTGTTTCTTGCTTTGTTGAAATTGGGCACCATCCCAACAGTGTTGGTGGTTTGGTGGTTGCTGCCAATACTGAGGATGGCTGGGGTAGGGGCCTTGTTGTCTGGAGTGGAAGGGCTGGTACTGGGGGGCTTGGGCCCATGGCCACTTATGTGCCCTCAGCTGGAATGGGCCAATGCCCACGGGGTGAGCCATCACTCTGGCCTTCTGGAGAGTGCCCAGATGTTTGTCCGTTCAGACATGGAAGAGGCCTTCCCTGTCAAATGGCATGTTCTCAATCTAGGAACACGCCTACTGGGGGAAACTGGTGACAGGTTGGAGGAAGGAATGTCCATGGTCCTGGCTCCGTGGTCGTATTGCAGTGAAGTGTGTGCACCAACCTCGCAGGGGAGGTGTGAGCCACTGGAGACTGCACTGGTGAATTGTGACTCTCCCCCTCCAAAAAGGATGTGGGTCATGATGGTTTGGGTTTGACCTTGGTATGATCCGATCAGGCTGGAGGCGGGGAGCGCTGAGCCAGAGAGGCTCGAAGTGGTAGTGTGGCTGGTGCAGGCGATATATTTGCAGCAGTGAACTGGTGAGCTGCAACGCTTGCAGCATATTTGCTTGAACTGGTGAGCTGCAATGCTTGGAACAGGCCACAGAGTGACATTCTGCCCTTTTGCCATGTTTAGCCTTACACGATTTCTTGGCTGTTCTATGGTCCTCGGATTCACGGTGCTTCCTCTTCTCCTTGTGAGGTTTGGGCACATCAGAAGCAGGGGAGAGTTTGGAAGCCACTGAAGCTGGCTTTGGCTTGCCCAAAGTACCAGTTGACAGGCGCTTTTTTGTGGCCTCTCTTGGGCCTGAGTTGCCAGTGACCCTTGTCCCAAGTGACCTCTTTCATGGCACCAAGAGCCCGCTCCCACATCTCCATTCTGAGACAACCAGCCCTGTTTTTATGGGCATTTGGTGAAGACTTGGCATTGTGGACACTTGTCCATTCAATGTTCTTTGCCCAAACAGAACAAGCACAGAGAATGGCCATTGGTTGAGGGCATCTTAATGCTGCATTTGGCACCCTTCCAAAACGCTGGTTTGAGCAACATTGGGAGGAGGGGGAAGAGAGAAATGTACGATAGAAGAGGGTTTTTTTAAAGTATTTTTTGTAAAGGAGAGAGTGTAAGGTGGGACTTCAAAGAAGGGAAAGTGAATGAGGGAGAGCAGAGATCATAAGCAGTGAGAAAGAGAATATTGTGAAGATGGTGAAGAAGTAAAAATGAAGGTTTATGAGGGAAGCTAAGGAAATCGAAAGCTAAGAGATCCTGACGTACTGTAAACAGCAGTCCAAAGTGAACCGAGAAAATGTCAGAAGCCCACCTATTTATATAACCAGAAAGGGGGGCGGGGCTCCCGCCAACATTCTAGGCTTAGCTAGAGGAATCTTCCTGAATGTGGCACTGCACAGGCGCAGTGCCCATGTGTGTGATGCACAGAGACCACAATGAAGAACTTATTTTTTTAAAAAAAGTTGAAATTGGCCATTGTGTATTTCTCTCTATCCAAAGTCCCTGGAAAATTAACCAGAAAATTGCATTTTACCTAAGACAGCCTAATCCAATGAAGGTTGCAATCCTATGCAAACTTGCCTGAGTAGGCATACCCAGAATTACACTGAAAGTCTGCCCCCTCTTTGTATACTTCATCTTAAAACTGTGGCTAATGCAGATTTTATAGTTTTAATACAAAGCCAGATTCTTTCTCTTTCCCGACACTGTGTAAAATTCAGCTTGATGACATGCTCTGGAAAACCTGAACAAGCTTTCACTATTTGTGACGTTTTTATAAGTCCTAATAAGGTTACTGCCTAAGAACTTTGGAAAACCATTTACAAGACTCACTGTACATCAGTTACAGGATTTGTCACTCAAAGCATTATTGATGGAAAAGTTCATTTTGTCTAGCTAGTCCAAAGACAACTGCACTGCCAATACAACATCTGAAATGAAGAAAGAACGTAGGATGAAATACAAAATGTGAAGTAAGCCTTACATCTGTAATTGGAGCAGGAGGTTCAGGCTGGTGATTTGGAGACCCATTTCTAATTTCGGAAAGAGAAACAAAAAATTGTAATTTGCTTTTCTCTGTTTGTCATGAAATTTCAATGTACCCTCTTTCATATTTTGCCAAAAAACTGGTGGAGATTCAGCACAGCCTATTCCTTAAGCTTGATTAAGGAAGAAAGGACAGGCAGAGGGACCATACAGTCCTTCTCTGGCCCTTCTACTGAACATCAATTACGTCACCATCACACTTTCATACAGAAGCCATGTTAGCACTGAAAAAGTTTAAATATTGTGGTGTTGTAACTGTTACTTTGATTGATTGATTGATTGATTGCATTCATGGTTTCTGTTTTATGTAACTGAAGAGGTCCTTGTAGACCATTTATTCCAATTTCCTGATTTGTGCAAGAGATCATGAGCTAATACACCCCCTGCAGATGGCTACCTAGCCTCTGTCTGAACACATCCAGCCAGTGGAGTAATGGTAAGGTGGTAACTGTACTCAAGAGGAAGAAAGGAATTGTGGGAAGGAGCAAAGGGGTATGCAGCAGAGAAGTGGGAGGGCTGGACTTGTCTTCTGCCTTTCCTCAGAACAGAAAAGGGAGGGAGACTATAAACTTGAGTTTTTCTTAGGTTTCATAAAACACAGTTAGGGAGACATTTGCCTCTCGTTTTAACTTAAAAGCACATTAAAAAGCAGCATTAGCATTTTTTCCATGATCTTGCATTCCAGAAGGTTCTAGATGCAAGTAAGTGGATTAAAACTAGAAGAGAGAAATGGGCAAAAACCAGAAAAATGGCTGCTATTCATACTTACCCTTCACTGATAGAGAAACTGCTGTGAGAACTACTGAAGCCAGGGGATGGCACGTTATTAACATAGGTGATCTCAGGCCAAGGAGAACACTAGAAGTGAAAATCCAATGATGAGGTATCCAGAACACAACACAGTATTTCCAAACCTCAAAGCTGCTTCCAATGGAAGAAAGCATGAACTCTATGTACTTCCCATGCAACCACACATCTGCAATTTCAAGAATATCATCTTCTATGGTTCTGGAGAATTACTTGGAAGTATGTAAGCAATTTTATGTGGACAATCACTCATAGTTGGAATAAGGGTGAACTAGATTTTTCAGCAGTGAATGGGCATGGAACTTTGTAGGGCACTAGAACTCAGATCCCTGACCTTACTTGTATAAGCCTTATCTTTTCAGTTCCTCATTTACTGAACTAGTCCTTGATTTTTTTTTAAAAGTACAGTACAGTATTGTATAGTAACTTATCCAAATTTACTTAAAGTTTCATAATTTATTCTACACTAGGCCTACAGAATATATACAAGTCCCAACTAAAATAATCAGTTCTTGATTTATACAGGAAACAAGGCTTCTTCTGAAAATTAGTTGAACTTCAAAGCTCGCCTTGTCTCTGAAATCCCTGCCATTTGGGAGAGATTAAGATAACGCCAAATGAATGGACTTTTTTGTTTTTATAAAGATGGTACGCTAAAGGCAATGATGTTTGGAAGAGCAAACTTTGGCGCCTTAGTCACACATCAGCTGGAATGATTAAAGAAGGGAAAAAAGGGTGAGTTTATAGGTTAAAACAGCACTTTAAATTGGGTATGGAAGCACACACACAGCCAATGCAATGCTAGGGCAAGTCAACTTGAATTTGTCCACTTTGCTCTTTATATCATGGCTAGCAGCTGATGCAGAAGTTATTGCTTTGGTGAAGCACACAAAGATTTCCCCTTCCCTTTATATAGTGCTTTGCTCAAAACAACCATTGTGGATACCTTGACACACATCGTATGCCTTACCTCTGTAAGTATCGTAGTTTCATACGAAGGCTGATACTTCTCCTTCTCATGAGGAGTTCGCTTTTCCATTTTCTCTCTGTCTGTCTTTTGCTTCCTATCAGCTCCTTTGGGCTGCAAACCACATATTTTCCTTAGATTAGTACAAGCAGTCTAAGAAAGGGAGTACTCAGCAGAAGGCCCTTCTCTGCTGCCAAGGACAGCGCTGGCCTTACTGTGGGTATACAAACACAAGGACACTCAAAAGAGCTATGAATACTGGCAAGAATAAGAAGGGAACAATATTATTAATTATATCCTGCCTGAGGGCCCTCTAAGTGGATTAGAATGAGAGAAAAACAATCCACAGCAATAACAGCAATCAATTAAAAAATACAACAATAAATGAAAGACAATAAAACAAAACAGTACACAGCTGAGGGGTACAAATTTTAAACCATATATGTTAGCACAACAATGTCACTAACAATATCAAGATAAAATCAATTATTAAAATGCCTAGAAAATAAAGTTGCTTTTGCCTAGCGCCAAAAAGATTGTAATGAGGGCACCGTACAAATGGTATCAAAATAGAATGTCTGAGGTTATTGATCTGTCACACATTCACTTTAACTGCTGTGACTGAGTAACACTTTCTCAGGCTCATTCAAGGCTCCTGTTTGCCCTCCACATCTACCAAGCAGTGGGCACTGGTCAGAGCTATCAGTCTTAAAGGATGAAGCAGAGGGTGGGATTGACCAAAGAAAGCAAAGGTATACATCTTCCAGAAATTATTATGCTTCCTTCCCTGGATTGGGACAATTGTTTGCTTTAGGTAGGATTTAAGTTCTTTTATAAGTCTTTGATGGACGAAAAAGGAAACAAACAGTGCACTAGCTCAAGGTCAGGTATCAGAAGGATAACTACAGTGGGAGGGTGTTGTATGTAATCTGCATGCCTTTTTAAGTATGAAAACTAAAAAATGGAACATTTCTCAGAGGTCTCCATAATGGACTGGGCAGAGAACCGTACGGAGATAAGTGGACTGGGAGTTGTATGTACTTTGCCTACAGAGTTTAAAAGTTCATTCTGGAATTATTATGCACATGAAAAACCTGTTCCACTGCCCCTTTGCACGTCACATAGTGCAGCCCTGTAGATTTTTATCTAGGCAAGCACTATGTCCAAATACTCATAAACAGAAGTGCTCACCTTAGACAGATATTACATATGAAAGCCTGGCTTTCTTACACCCCTAAAGTCAATTGTATTGTTCTGAGGGGCACCAGGTCAAACTAGATGCAGCAGCAGTGGATCCATTTGTTTAATCCTGAGCATACCCAGATGCATTAAAAGTGGACTTCCGATATTTAAAGCAAAAGGGAGGGCACCCACAGATAGTTTCTCTACTCATGCAAATGCCAAGATCTGAAGTCACGATCTGACTGAGAGAAGAGTGCTAGGGGTAGGTGGAGGAGCAGAGGCTCTGAAGAAAGACAGCCACAGGTAGGACTCATCTCCTCTGAACTGCACGTAATTTCTGCTGCAAAAACCAGTCTCCCATGACCCCATTCCTGGGTCAGATCTAGATTTAAAGAAAATGGTGCTACCATTGTTGCCCTCTGAAATCATGTTCTGAATCAAACTGAAGGCATCACAACTCCCCATTTCAGTTTCAAAATTAAGAAGCTTAGTACTACATTTGAATCTCACGCCTAACTTGTTGCTTCCAAACAACACAGGAATCACAAACCCACTACAAACCCTGGCTCCAGGTTCTAGCTTATTAGGGGAGGGACAAACAGAAATCCTGTTCAACTTTTGTCTCCAGTTGCATCCATGGTTCATTTAGCAGCTCCTACTGGTGGGATTAATTAGGAACATGCATAAACATACTATTCATTGATTTTAAAAATCCAGGATTTTCTAGAATTATTTCCTTTTATGTACAAATGTTGCCACCACCACGCAGTTTGAAACTTTTCTAGCACAGTTCAAGAAGCTGTTTTGAGAGAGGTGATGAAAGCTGGTCATTCCTCTGGTAAGGCACAGCCTGTAGCCAGGGTTTGTAGTTGGTTTCTGATTCCTGGATTGGCAAGAGTTTTCTTTCCTTTGTAGTGACTCAGCTCGGCTTCTTCTGATGTAAACTCTTTCGTACAGATTCACTAATCCAAATCAGCTATGCCCAGAAATATCAATTTAAGCAATTCCTTCAGCTAGAAACCCAACACACAGTGACACTAATTCCAAGACTTGGTCCAGAGGAAAAAGTTTCATATAAAAATGGTGCAATAAATGGCTTTAAGATTTGAAATTATTCCTGATGTTACACATATGTAGATGATAGTTTAAGAATGAACTGTGGTATCAGTGCCCTAGAATATTCAACTACTTCAGTTTAAAACCTCATTGAGTACTATTGCTGGATAATCTCCTTCAGAAGTACCCCGTGCTATTCTGCAATGTTTAGAGTGAGCACAATGGTTGAAGCTGATGTGTATCACTGACAGCTAAGTGTTAATAAATGGGCATAAATACATAGAATAGAAAAAGCATAGAATAGTCTTGTCTTCTTATGCAACAGGCACTCCAACTACTTTTTCAACATTCAGGTTGCAAAGAAATCAAGGCTTAGATCAACAGTTAAGGAAACAGCTTTGCTTCTCTGGCCCATTTGCAGAAATTAGATATTCTAAAGCACATTCATACCTTAAAGACTTTGATCTGGCAGCTGGCAGAATGCAGGTGCTCTGTATATTCTCCATTCTCATTCTCCTTAAAGGTATCAATCTGGACTCTAAATGGCACACCTTTCTCACCACCATGCTTTCTCATGGTGAACTCAGTGCTGATGCAGTGCACCTGTAAAGAGAAAGCCAGAAAGGTGTTCTAAACTGCAGTCTTGCTGCTCCTACAGTGAAAAAGTACATCGCCAGATCAACCAGTATTCTGGAAGAGTCATAGCAAGGGATACTAGCTAGTGAAGGGAATCTGTTTGCCATAGCAAACTGAGAGATCCTCAGCACACAGTGAGTGTTCCACCCTGCTCTCTGCATACGACTCATGAGTTACTGTTCTCTCATCATGGGACAAAGGAGAGTGGCTTCAAATCAAACTAAATACCACCAGAGACTTGACCAAAAAAGCAATAATGTTGACACTCAGTGTTACTGTATATTCACCACACCTGAAATCTAGAGAGAAACAATTTAAGTATATACAAAACAAAGAACATGTCAAAATATAGCAAGAGCAGAAGAGAACAGTGATCATGGATCACATTGCGGAAATCTAGAACATAAAAGAACCAAAATTTCTACTGGTTTTCCAGATTCTACCCCAAAACATATTCCCACTTAATTCTTGGCAAGCAGTAAGTACCAGAAATACAGAGCACTATTTAAGCTACCTTATGTTCCTTGAAAGAGGAAAGAAGATGGGATATAAAGGTAATAAATAAGTAAACATATCCAGCAAGTGTTTGACTTAAGGGTTAGGGTAATTTTTCCCAAAGGAACCAGATCATGTCAAACTCCACCTTTCTCCTTTCCCCATGGCTCACACTCTCTTCCTTATCTTTTCAGCATGAACTATGTATTGTTATCAGTAGTTACATCACTTGAACACTAACCATAGTGAGAAATCATGGTCAGAAGCTAGTTGCTAACCATCATTTGCCTAAAAAGGAAGAAAACTTGAGTGGTAGGAGCAACATACCGGAGGTGGAATGCAGGACTTCTCTTAGTATCTTAACCATTACAAAGGGGTTAGGAAATGCTACACCTGTGCTATACCCAAGGAGCTGAAAGGGGCATGACAGGGTCCAAAGAGAAGAGGATGAGTCATTTTCTTTACTTAAGCAGAACTAATACTTTTACAAGTAATCCTTCCAAATTAGTACAAATGAAATCTTTATAAGAGGACAAACCATGACTTAGCCTAGAACAGACTTCTCCAACCAAATCCTTTCCAGATGTGTTGGTCTGTAACTCCTGCCAACCCTGAATAGCAATCACCAAACACAGTCAACACAGCTATTGGCCATGTTGACTGGGCTTGATGGCAGTTGAAACTCAACATATCTGGAGAGTGCCAAGCTGGCTTGCTAACTTAAGAGGAAAAAGGCAAATTATTTTTTATCTAGGAAAATATATAGCTGTGTAGTCCAGAATGGACAGTATACAAATGTTAAGGAGAACATTCCATTTCCCCTCATACCTATGGAATTTTCAGGTGACCTTCAGCAATTCACAGTTTTGGCATCAAGCATCTAATAATGACCTACCTCAACAAGCTATATGGAAAAGACAGTAACACTATCATGAGTCCTCAGCACAGAAAATCCTTAAATAAGTGGTCTGGTTCTAGATGGCTTAGATAGAATACATCTGACACTTCCTACTTTCTCAAGTTTTGTCCTGCTCCAGTCCCAGTAAACTCATCTTTGACTGAAACCAAATTGAGATCAGCAGCATCCTTTTCCAACATCACCTCAAATATTCAACAATCTGAATGGCAGCTTTCTCTAACCTCTTTGGCAGTCAGAAATTTCATTTAGTTCTATCAAGGGCAATTAGTACTGCTCCTTAGTCAAGGGGTTCACAAAGTTCATTACAATGAGCCTCCTAAGTAACTAAAACAGAAGGGTTTGCTCTTTCATCAGCATTATTAGACTGAAACAATCTCCAGGTGCACAATATTGATTTTTTTTTTGCCATCCCTGGTGCACACAACTGACCCTCAGAACAAAAAACAATGCTGACTTGAAACTGATTGCTTAGGATTTTAAATGATTTTCAGCAATGTTCTGAGTGAGAGCATATCAAAGGAAAAGAAAAGAAGGAAACCCACAAAGAAACCAAAACACATTTTAAAGAAGCAGCCAGCAGAAAAAGTGGGGAATGTACTGCTCTGATGGATGGATTTAGAAGGCAACATGGCAACTGGATCAGGCACTGAAGTGTGCTGACCAAGGCACATGGCGGGAAGGACTAAGGAAGGTATCACACCAGTCAGTCAACACCTTTCTAAACTGGTCTGCCCTTCATTCCAAGCAATGTAGGGGAACTGAGTGGCTCACTTTTAAGTCTGACACAAGTCATGTAAGTGACTTGACTGGGACTCGAGATTTCTATTGTTTTTATGACCAAGACACTTTTTGACATGTGGGAGAGAGGGACAAGGAAGTGGAGGCAGGGGGAGGGGGTTGTGATAAAGGTAGTCCCAGGGTTACATACTTACACATGCATGGACTGCCATTAAGCCTATATTTTATGATATGAATATCTTTCAGGAACTATGCAATGCACTGGTGACACGTCATCAGTGGCCACGTAGTTCCCTAGAGATATTCATGGCTTTTTGTTCAGCAGTGTAGGCTTGAGCATACTCAAACCAGTATGTTTCAGGGCACATGTAGAGCTTCAAGGATGAAACAGAACCATGACAAAACAATTTCTGGGAAAGGCAGAAGCAGAGGTGCCCAGATAACTTCTCCCTACTCTGTTCCTGTTGATTTAAAGCTTGAAATCCTGTTTTCATGCATAGCTTCCTAATCCATGAGTTAGCATTAACACTAACATTAACTAATGATTATGGAGATGGATGTGGTGCTGGAGAGTCAGGGTTTAATCGTGCTGCTGCAGAGGTGGGGAGCTACTGCTAGAGTCACTTTCTTAAAGTAGGCCTCAAGGCTTGTTTGTACAGCCATTTTCTCATCATAAATGGCCTTGTAGTATGTTACAAGGGCAAATGCTAAAGGGGAACTAGAGCAGTATTTGCATGCCCATACTAAAGATGGGGAAATGATACTGAACTGACAGCAGAGAATGAGAGCCACAACCCCTGTCTGAGTAGAATTTGGTAGGCTTGATCCCCTCCCCTGCAAATATTCCCCAATTCTATGAAAGAGAAAGAAAGAAGATTCAGGATATTTTTCTCTGTTTTGCTTCAGATTTGTGTGGGGGGTTTTTTGGAACTGTGGCATGTTATTATTCTTATGGTTCATTGTACATTAGCAGAGCGACTCAGAAATATATTCAGAAAATGAACAAACAAAAAGAACAAACAACATAAAGCACTTTAAAGTGCTCAAAATGCTTCATAATCATAATCTTGTTGTAATCTATGCAAGAATGATAGTGACTAGCCTAAATCTAGGAACCGATTTGAACTACACTGTATTAAGAACTATTTCTTTTGTTTTTTTAAATAATACTGTATATCTATACACTACCTACAGATTCATTCTCCAGCTCCCTCTCCAGTACCTGTAGTTACATAATTATTACTGTATTGGTATCATTATTACAATGTTGCATTGTGCTTAAGATATTTTAGTGAATATGGAACTGTTTCTTAATGTTTTCTATGCACAGAAGGGTTATACACACAGACATTTGGCTTACTCATATGATCTGACTTACATATAAATTTGAGTTAAGGATTTTCTGAGGAATGGAACTCTTCTGTAGTCCAGGGACTACCTGAATAAGGGAATGTTTCAGCTCTTTTTGGCACACTTTGCTTTCCTTGGGAGGAAGTACAATAGCACCTCTCCTGCCTGCTGCCTCTGCTCTGTTCCCATGCATTCCCAGTCTGGGGGCCAATCATGTCAAGAAAATTGTTTTTCTAAATTGCAATATTGATAAATTTGAATAACAGCACAGCTTTGATTAAATAAATAGTGGTTGAAGTAAAAGATTTCAATGCATAACCAAGAGAAGGGTAGATAGGAACACTGGGGCGATTTACAACTTGCCCACCTTCCCCACACACAGCCCACCACCATCTCCCATTTTTCTGTTAAAGCTGATTCTTGAGACTTGAGAAGAGACTTGATTCAAAAAATTCTTGCAATGACTTAAGAGTTGACTTGAGACTTGGAGTAAAGGACTTGAATGCATCACTGGTTCCAAGCATCACTGATTTAAACGGATAATGCATCACACTTTCTATTCTATACACACTACTAGCTACTAATATGATGTGCACACTACCTGGCATGTCATTCTTAAAGAAAGACAAAGCATACTTTTAAAAGAGTAAAGCAGAAAGCAGTGCAACTTCAAAGCCATCCATGCCTGTTGTAGTGGATTCTACTAGAACAGAAGAGAGTAGCACTTCCCATATATTCTTGATTTACCTGAATAAATACTGAAGTCCTCTTTGAAGGATCCCAAAGAAACTCTACAGTATTCAATTGCGTTGGGTTTGCCCTGGGATCGATTATACCCACAGACATTGGAATATCTGCAGAAGATGAAAAATGCTTACATTTTAGGACAAAAGTGGGAGATACAAAGCAAGTCTACTCAAATGCTAGGGGACCAGTGTAGCAATTAACACATCAAGAGTTTAAAGGACTGGACAATTTAGTACATGGCCTGAAGACACATGATGTAGCAACCTTGTTGAAGTTAGTCAGGTCTTGTCCATGGCCAGATAGGAGACCTCATAGGAACCCCAAGTATGTTGCTTGAATTCCATAGCAGCTGGCATGATATATATCTAGGAAAATCTAGGAATCAGCAGGTGTTGATAGAACACAGAACTGAAAACCAAACTAGATGCAACTCCATTCATGCCCTTAGAAATTGCATAATTGGCTTTTAAATGTAAATTACAGGCATAGGTTGTGGGGAAGGCTGCTTGACACCCACAGCAGTCTTGCTACAGGGCAAAACATTAAAGTCCCCCAACACACACTCCAACCGGCAATGTATGTATGCCATTCAAGTAATCCACAAGTACTTCCACAAATGCATAAAACTTGTTTGCAGTCAGCCATGCTAGTCTGCTCAGGAATATTTCAGAACCTACAGAAGCCAGGTCTCTATTTACTTTGTGTAAACAAAAGCCCAGAATTATGCCCTATGAGGAAAAAACACAAAACACACAAAAACCATTTCCATGTATTCGTTTTTCTTGAGTCTGCCATGGGAAAGAAGAAAAAAGCAATACTGGGTACTAAAACCCTAGTCCCTGAGCACTGGAAGTGTTATTCATGTCATGTCATCCTCAGCTTTTCAGATTTATCAAGTTTCTAATTTTTTTTGTTTAAATGAGAGTAAGCCAAGACTTTGCATGCCTAACCTCACACTCAAAACAGAAAACTCTCATTATTTGCATAAATGGACCAAGTAGCACAGGAAAAAGAGAAAAAAAGATGAAGGTTCCAAGTGTTGTGAGTGTTTTTCCTCAAGTTACTCAGATTAAAAATAGTGATTTTGACAAAATTATACATAATGTTAATTTTAAAAGGAAAAAGAGAACAAGCTGCATCAAGAAAAGTGTCAAGAACTCTGTATAGGCCTGAGGGACTGCAAGCTCTTTCACTACGGACAGTACAATCTATGTGTGACTGTTCGGTGAGATAGGTAAGTAAGTACAGGATTGCAGCCTAAATCATGGTGCCAGTGACAAGCAGGGTCCCCCAGGGCTCTGTCCTGGGGCCAATCCTGTTTAATCTTTTCATAAATGACATGGAAGAAGGTGTGAACAGTCTGCTGATCGAATTCGCACACAATACTAAAACTGGGGCAGTGGCCACAACTGAGGAGCAGGTACTCCAGATCCAAAAGGATCTGGACAGACTATGGAAGTGGGCAGGAGACAACAGGATGGCGTTCAATGTGGATAAGTGCAAGGTTTTGCACTTGGGGCATAGGAATAGGTGTCATAAGTACAGGTTAGGGGACAAGTGGCTGGAGAGCACTTGGGGTGCTGGTTGACTGCAGGCTAAACATGAGTCACCAGTGTGATGCGGTGGTCAAGAGGGTGAACGCCACCCTTGGTTGCATAGCTAGAAGTGTGGCTTCTACATTGAGAGATGTATTAGGACTCTGGTGTGCCTGCAACTGAAGTATTGTACTCAGTTTTGGGCCCCTCATTACAGTAAGGATATAGCCAGGTTAGAATCAGTGCAACGTAGGGCCACAAGGTTGGTGGTTGGTTTGCAGAAGATGCCGTATGAGGAGATACTGAGGGAACTGGGTCTCTTCAGCCTGGAGGAGACTCAGAGGGATATGTTGGCGACATACAGGTATGTGAGGGGATGTCACACGAAGATGGGTAGAGACCTGTTCTCCCCTGCAGAGGAAGGCAGGACGCGCTCCAGCAGAGCAAAGCTCAGGGAACCAAGGTTCCATTTAGATGCCAGGAAGCACTTCCTGACAGTTAGGACCCCGAGGGTGTGGAATGGGCTTCCACGGGAGGTCGTTGAGGCCCCATCGGTGCGGGTGTTCAAAGACTGGCTGGACATGCGCATGGTGGGCATGTCATGAGTGGAGCCGGCTGGAGCCGGGGATCAGACTAGATGGCCCAGGAGGCCCCTTTTGACTTGCTCTGTTTCTGTTTCTATCATATACCCATATATGACTATCTGTTGAAGTGAATGCACCAGTGACAAGAAGAGATCTCTCTTCACACCTGAATAGCAGCTCTCAGTCAAATTATTTAGGAGTTAGAGGAGTATAAAGCCAGAAGAGCCAAAATGCCTTCTAACTCAGCCCCCTGCCCAGTTAGAGGCATTTAGCTGCCATCCATCACTATGGAACACTTCACACAATCCAGATTATAATAAATACCAAGCAAAGCACAGATATGTTGCAGAAATGTGGTCACCAAGCAAACAGTTGGAGATGGCCCATATAAGTGAACCAAGACACATTCACATAGGAAGACAACTTTTAAACAAATCTCAGAGCTGTCTAAAGTTGGGGGGAAATGTTCTCCAGCCTTCAAAACAGGTCAAGTGCTTAAACTCCAACTATTGACTGAAACCACCCCAAGAGCATTTTATTAAATTACAAGCTTCAGCCCCTAGTGATGACATTTCCAATACTTTCCAGGTTGGTTTTACATAAACTAACAATGGATACATATCCGAGATTTGTGGAAGCCACTCACCAATATCCAGAATCCTGTCCCCAGGTCTGTTCCACCTCCAGCCTTCCAACTGCTGATGCTCTGTATATTGAAGCCGCCGATCATGGAAGACCACTCTAAATATACTCTGGTAACAGGAAGATTTTCCCATCAATTATACTATATGTACTGGAACTTGGTTCATTTAATGAGCTTAAACCAGCTTCTTCCAACCTGGTGCTCTCCTGATTTGCTGGCCTACAACTTCCAGCATCTTCCCCCAACCCTGGTGCTGACTGGAGTTAGCTTAGACAAATCAGTGGAGGAAGAATGGGATCATTTTCTTCAACCAAAAGTGCAAGTATCCTCCCTGATACTTACAGATCATGTGTGGGGAACATACTTATGTTAACAGTTATGTGTTGTAGCAGGTTCACATTCAAGGTTTCACGCATGTTAAAAGATACACAAGCCCAATTTTAACTTCCATATTGCACTGCATCTACGAATATTACCTGCATATCAGAGCCAGTGAAAAACCTCTGTATTTCAAGGCTAGTTAACATATGCTTATACATCTCTCGATCCATTTACAGTAGATATTCTATGCAGTGTCTGGCAGTCAAAAGTCTGAACGGATTCCACTGAATTTTCTTGCTTTGGAATGATCTACCTGTGGTATTTGAACTACTGTAAACACCCACACTTTCAAGATCAAGAGATGAGCATGCATGTAAATCATTCTTAAATTACAGAAAGTCCTGGCAGCACATACTTTAGATAAATTCTGTTGTGCACCAACTTTAAGGTTTTTTGATAAGCCTTTCTTAGTGCCAACGGACACTATGCTTTCTAACCACTCCTCAACCCAAAAAGCTACAACCTACCACAATCACTGTATGAGACTCCAGAACATGTTCTACGCAGTGTGTGGGGAAAAAACAGTTTCCTTGTTTAAAATTACAGTGTGAGAAAGAAGCGGGGAAACATAGCTGGCATGTCTAGACTAAACATCTCTAATAGATTAATATGTTGTCTTTGAAGAAAGAACAAACACTCTGTATGTTTTACTTGCTCAGACAGTAAGAGAAACATGGCGTGAGTCCTGTATAATACTCTCTACCACCACCAGCTACTGTTTGGTTCACACAGGCAGCCGCTCAAGACTGCCCTGCCTGGAAACCATTTACAATACAACACTGTTGTTATATGCCCCTAGAGCTTTAGACTAACTCTGCAGAACTGTTGCCACAAGACAAAGGCTTTTCCTTAATAAGTTCGATCAAGCACAAGCAATAGCCAGAGGGCCAGAGAGGGCTAACTACACAACTTCAAAGGCAAGTCACCTTTGTCTCAAGGACTTAAGCAGTTGTTTAAGGCATGGTTTCCCTCTGTCTGATCCTTGCCCAGAATATTTAACATTGACTTTACTTTAAGCAAAAGAATGCAATGACACAAATTACACGAGATCTACACTAGCCTAGAATTAGTTGACCTGCAGTGGATTATGTGTTCAGCAGACAGAATCTCAATCTAAAGCAAGAGGCATTTGCAATGGGTAATTACCTTGTGTTGGGATGCTCTTAGAGCAAGGGGACTCTCAGAGAACTCTCCCTGGACACTATTTCTATTCAATCTGTCCTTCTAATCTCATTTTTAATGGCACAACAGTCTCTCCTTTCCTCCACTTCTGAATAGTGGTCTTTTTTCTGTCCATGTTCAAACACCCACAGATGCACCCCAACAAACAAGCAACAAAGTGCCCTGTACAAATTACTACAGTGCCTATGTGTGGGGCTGAGAGAACTTCAACTGCCAGTAGAGGTTCACAGCCATTCTATGCAAGGAAAACAAATGGTCCACTGAAAGTCAGCCAATGGTGAATCAGAATTCAAAGAGCTTCTGCCCATTCCTCTTGAAAATACTGCATACTGCCATCAATGTCATAGCAAACCATGCCTGTGTAACATTGATTCATGAACATTCTAAGCTCTTAACTTTCTGTGCCTTTGGTAGTTCAGTGAAGTTCAAGATCGTTAAAGAAATGCGAATTTGCTCTAATTTGATCTGATCACTTGGCAGCAACTCACATGGTCTGGTATTACATATTTTATCCAATTTGAACTCAGGTAGGGGGTCTACAAATTGTGGCTAAACTAGGTATTGAACCTTTCTTTTTAATCAGTTCCCAGACTCTTCTTGCTTGTGTCCTGCATTATTTATGCTCTCAGCACCAATCCTTCCTCTCCCTGCATGGACTTCTCACTCACGAGTGGCATAACCACCTGATTTGTTATGTCCTATTACAGTAATACTTGGTTCATGAATGCTTCTGTTCGCGAACATAAAGTTCAGCAAAATTTTGCTTCCGTTCGCGAACTCCGCATCGTGTGATGAACACGATCACAGACACCTTCCCCGCAGGAACACAAACATGGCCATCTTCCCCGCTCTGTGTCGAGCCTAACGACTCGGAGGAGTCATTAGCAGGTGCAAAAGAGACAGAAACTCCCAGTCAGAATCAGACTTTAGAGCAAGAAGATTTCTACTTGGTGCCCATAGCACAAATGCTCCCCTGCCCCACAGCCTGACTCTGATGAAGTTTTTGTTCAGCCTGGAGTATCTGCTCAGGAGGCCAGGGGATGACCTGTTGCCATGGAGAATGCCCAGCTGAGGAGACTTTGGCGTTTGAGCCAATTAGAAGAGAGACAAAGTCAAAGAAGGAGGGAGAGGAGTTTATCTTGCCCCCAGAGGGAGGGTCGTACGTGCAGGGTTAAAAGTATGTCATAAATCTTAGATAGGTCAGAAAGGAGGGCGCAACTGTGTTGCTTAGAACAACCATCAACGGCTCCTGTACTATTCGTCACCTGTGTATCTTGAAGTTGTTTAGAATAAAAGCCTTTAAACTTTTATTGCCTACATCTGTGTGAGTAATTAGGAAGAGTGCAATGGCTGCACGACACTCTGAGACATGGTTGTTGAGATCACGGTCACAGGCTCTCCCTCCAAACAATAACCTCCTCCCCACCCACCTTCTTGTCCTCCATGCCAGAAGTTGCTTCAAGCAAGGTTAGTGTTCTCTCTCTTTGTACTGTACTGTACTGTACTTTGTTTCGTATTTTTGTGGTTAAAAAAATTACATATGGTTCAGACCAGAGTAACCGCATTTACATTGAACGTTATGGGGAAATTTGACTCAGTTCGTGACCAGAATCATGGAACAAATTAAGTTTGTGAACCGAGGTACCACTATACTTCCATTTTCCCTCACTGGGTTGTCACCTCAATACTACTGGGATCTAATGGAGCAAAGGGCTTCACCATCTTACAGATTTCATAGGCCACTGGAAAGAAATCTATGGTTATTATTAGTTATCTGGCAAGCATGCTTGTGGAAACCTGTTCAAACTACGAGTATGTCACCCTCCTGGAGCCTTTGGGAGAGGATAAATTATACATACTAACCTTTACAAGCTTCCCATTGAGTTCAGGCAATTCCCCCATTTTCCTGTTGTCCAGCATTCTGATTTCATAAGACTGACCTGAGAAGAAGAGAGCTGTTTCATTACTATTGAAAAGAGAGCAAAAGAAACCACTCTTCTGTTCATAGTGTAAGTTGGAAAGAAAATTTAAATGTTGATAACACTGAAAGTAAATTCCACAAACACTCCTATTAATGCCCAGACTGCTTTTTGGACCTGAATATAAAAAGGCCTTTTGGGATAAAATAATGTGTACATTACCATAGATTCATGTATCCTTTTAAAGAGTATACTCATTTTTAGGAATTAAAGTGAAAAAATTAGTAGCTGCTTGTCACTTAGTCAAGCCAACCACATTACTCTGAGTGTTATTATTATTAATTTCATTGCTATATCACCTGAAGGAAGTAACTCAGTGACTGAGAAACAGAGAGGCAAACAACCAAGCCATGAACCCTGTCTGAAGGAATGTGGAGGGGAGAAAAAGATAATTGGCTTGCAAGAAAGTTTGCTACTTCCTACCTCATCCTCCCAGTAGTTTTATGAGACAGGGGGTCGTAGGGCAAGGTGAAGTTAGAGAGGAGTACACCAGTGAACTTGTAGTTATAAGCACGCAGGCGTAATAGGTTGATGAATAGTAACTCACACACCTTGAAATGGCAATAGGCTAATTATAATGCACATGTGATGTATGTAGTGGGATGAGATGGGAGATACGAAGTAGGTGGACGGAAAGACTGTAACCTCCTAGTACCTTACCCAATGATGGAAAAGGGAAGGATTGTGGTGGACAGGTTGAGGGGTAAAAGGAGCTATTTTGTGTGTTTGTACTTTGGAGAGTTTCTGATAGAGCGGACTCTCCCCATCTATTGTGATAACGAAGGAATTGCCTCACTCTGTTGGTAGTCTTGGCTATTTAACTTGAGAAGTAATTTTGGAGCTTTTTGCATAACATCACCCAATAACCAAAGTTCTGTGGGCAGCTTACAACAGTCCATAAAAACAGTTCAAAAGCAAAGTACAATAAAATGCCATAAAATTTTTTTGTAAGAAATATTAAAAATAGATAAAAGCATACAGTGCAGAATAATCCTGTGAAAGAAAAGCACCAAGGTTGTGTAATGCCCTCAGACCCCTGGATAACCAAGTATATCTTGCATGTAGGGTCAAAAAATTCAGGCATGTTGGGGTCAAAAGATCCTGACTTCAAGTATGAGATCTGAGTTAGCTGTGACTGAGCAAGAAAGGGAACTTGGAGATAGCTCAATGAAAATTGTCAGGCCAATGTGCAGCTGCTGTGAAAATAAAGGCAAACTCCACACTAGGCATAATTAGGAATGGAATAGAAAAGAGAACTGCCAAAATCTTACTTCCCTTATGCAAATTGTTAGTGCAACTGCACCTGGAATGTTGTGTACAGTTCTGGTCATCTTACCAGAAAAGGATAGTATTGACTTGGAAAAAGTACAAGGAAGGACAACAAAAATGATCAGGGGGTTTGAGCAGCTCCAGTAAGAGGAGCTGCTGTTCCCCTTACTCACTAGAAAAAAGGTGAGTAAGGGGAGACATGAGAGAGGTGTTTAAAATGATGCATGTGTGAAGAAAGTGGAGAGGGGCACATTTTTCTCCCTTTCTTACAACATTTGAACCCAGGGTCATGCCATGAAACATGAATTGGTAAGAGATTTATCACAGATAAAAGGAAGTACTTCTTCATACAACATATAGTTAAACTATGGAATTTCCTGCTACAGGAAATGGTGGTGGCCACCAATCTAGATGGCTTTAAAAAGGATCGGACAGATTCAGGAGGGAGGAGGCTCTCAGTGGCTACTAGCCTTGCTGGCTCTGTGCTACCTCCCTTACTAGCGGCAGAATGCCTTCATGCACCAGTAGCTGAGGAGCTTGGGCAGGAGGAGTTCTTGCACCCATCCTGCTTGAGAGATCTTGTGTGCATACAGAGTGCTGTACTAGATGGACCTTTGGTCATATCCAGGATGGCTTTTCTTACTTTCTAATCTTTAAAAGTCTTTAAAAGGCCATTTGGCCTGGCACCGAAAAGATGGCAGGGTGGTGCCGAGTGGGCTGCAGAGGGAACACCATTCGACTGATGGGGACCCTCCCTTCAAGCCACCCTCAGAAGGCACTCAGAAGAAGGGCCTGGATGCTGAGTTTAGCGTTTGTGGTTGGGAGAGACCCTCCATCAAATACTGTGGTCTCAAGCTATGCAAAGCTTTATAGGTTAAAACCAGCACTTAGAATTGAGCCCAGCCAATGCAAGCAGGCCAGAAGTGGTCATACTTGTTTGGACCTATGGTCCCAGTGACTGCCACATTCTGCATTCTATCCAACTAGTGAATGGGCCCAACTTTGTACGGGCTGGAATGGTCCTTCATTTCATACAGTGAAGCTTTCAAGCAAACCTATCAGCTCTCGGCATTGGAAACATTCTGCCTGCCTCAAATGAAGCCACATGCATTGTCTACACCAGGGGTCCTCAAACTTTTTCACCAGGGGGTCAGTGGAAAGATGCCAGTGCTGGCCCCGGGCCGGCATGGGAGCGGGGACGGGACACGCGAGATGGGTGACAGTGCGTGCGCACAGCGCACTGAAAACCTCTGAGGCGGGCCGGATAAATGGCCATGGCGGGCCAGATCCGGCCCCCGGACTATAGTTTGAGGACCCATGGTCTACACCAAGCATGGTTCCTTACACTAAGCAAGAAGAATAGATGCAAATCACACATTTGTTTTAGACAAGCTACAATATATCACAGAAGTGAGTACACCCCTCACATTTTGTAAATATTTTATTATATCTTTTCATGTGACAACCCTGAAGAAATGACACTTTGCTACAATGTAAACTAGTGAATATACAGCTTGTATAACAGGGTAAATTCGCTGTCCCCTCAAAATAACTCAACACACAGCCATTAATGTCTAAACTGCTGGCAGCAAAAGTGAGCACACCCCTAAGTGAAACTGTCCAAATTGGGCATTATTAGCCATTTTCCCTCCCCGGTGTCATGTGACTTGTTAGTGTTACAAGGTCTCAGGTGTGAATGGGGAGCAGGTGTGTTAAATTTGGTGTTATCACTCTCTCTCACTCATACTGGTCACTGGAAATTCAACATGGCATCTCATGGCAAAGAACTCTCTGAGGAGCTGAAAAAAAGAATTGTTGCTCTACATAAAGATGGCCTAGGCTATAAGAAGATTGCCAAGACCCTGAAACTGAGCTGCAGCACAGTGGCCAAGACCATACAGCGGTTTAACAGGACAGGTTCCACTCAGAACAGGCCTCGCCATGGTCGACCAAAGAAGTTGAGTGCACATGCTCAGCCTCATATCCAGAGGCTGGCTTTGGGAAATAGACGAATGAGTGCTGCCACCATTGCTGCAGAGGTTGAAGGGGTGGTGGGTCAGCCTGTCAGTGCTCAGACCATATGCCACACACTGCATAAAATTGGTCTGCAGGGCTATTGTCCCAGAAGCAAGCCTCTTCTAAAGATGATGCGCAAGAAAGCCCGCAAACAGTTTGCTGAAGACAAGCAGACTAAGGTCATGGATTACTGGAACCATGTCCTGTGGTCTGATGAGACCAAGATAAACTTACTTGGTTCAGATGGTGTCAAGCATGTGCGGCAACAACCAGGTGAGAAGTACAAAGACAAGTGTGTCTTGTCTATAGTCAAGCATGGTGGTGGGAGTGTCATGGTCTGGGGCTGCATGAGTGCTGCTGGCACTGGGGAGCTACAGTTCATTGAGGGAACCATGAATGCCAACATGTACTGTGACATACTGAAGCAGAGCATGATCCCCTCCCTTCGGCGACTGGGCCACAGGGCAGTATTCCAACATGATAACAACCCCAAACACACCTCCAAGATGACCACTGCCTTGCTAAAGAAGCTGAGGGTAGAGGTGATGGACTGGCCAAGCATGTCTCCAGACCTAAACCCTATCGAGCATCTGTGGGGCATCCTGAAATGGAAGGTGGAGGAGCGCAAGGTCTCCAACATCCACCAGCTCCGTGATGTCGTCATGGAGGAGTGGAAGAGGACTCCAGTGGCAACCTGTGAAGCTCTGGTGAATTCCATGCCCAAGAGGGTTAAGGCAGTGCTGGAAAATAATGGTGGCCACACAAAATATTGACACTTTGGGCCCATTTTGGACAGTTTCACTTAGGGGTGTACTCACTTTTGTTGCCAGTGATTTAGACATTAATGGCTGTGTGTTGAGTTATTTTGAGGGGACAGCAAATTTACACTGTTATACAAGCTGTATACGCACTACTTTACATTGTAGCAAAGTGTCATTTCTTCAGGTTGCCACATGAAAAGATATAATAAAATATTTACAAAATGTGAGGGGTGTACTTACATCTGTTATATACTGTATATGTATATATAAGATAAAGAGTTCCAGAAGTGACTGTGGTATTGGACGGCACAGAAAAACTTTAAATAAATAAATAAATAAATAAATAAATATCGAAGGCATTACAGAAATTAGGATTTTATTACAATCTTTTGATAATGGTAAGAGTAAAATCAGTTGAAGTGATCAGCATATTTCCATGTATAAAATTTTAGCTGCTTTTATCTATTGAATTGATACTAATAACGCCCTTTAGAATAGCAAGGTCTATATTCAAACTGATCACATCATATAATTTGTCATATGATTCCAGGCTCAGGAATCACACTCACTGGAATTCTTTTTCCTTTCCATTCTTCGCTGTAACGGGCCCTGAACATTCTACTCAGTGACACTTAGATAATTCAACTATGTAAACAAGTAATCCAGATTTCTGTTTACCTCTTCACTGTCCATAGGCTCCCACAGATTCAAACATCTACCTCATTCAGGTAGGGTTTCAGAATGATCAACAGGCTTCTTGACAGCAAACAAGAAAAATGTAGCTCACCTTGATTGAGATAGGTGAGAGTTTCATCATGAAGTTTCACAGCAGGGGAAGTGGCAGCACACAACACATATTGAAAAGGCAGGATTTTGTTCTCATTGTCGGGAGGCAAGCTAGATTCTTCTTGTTTAAAGATGGGCAGGGCAAGAACATCACTAAGAGACAAAATGCATGATCAGGTTTTAATTGGTTTTATTATAATTTGTTTTTTATTACTATAAATATCCATATTTGGCTTAAGAACGGTATTTGTGCCCTCAGATAATACTAATTTGAAGATTACACTACTGGTTAATCTTATAACTGACTCTGGGCAGGTAGGGGTTATTCATGGAACAACCCACAGTTAGCCTGATAGGCAATCAGCTTTACTGTGGATTGCTCTCACACTCCTTTTCCCCTTGTCCTCCAGATAGCATCCTAGTCTCCTTTGTAGCAAACCTATCTTGTCTACATCTTCCTGCTCCAATAGGGACACCATATTTGGTTGCAAAGAGGGGGTTTTTTTGTTCTGGAGCTGTCTATTGCTGACAGTGGAAGTCACTCCATCGATGTCCAAAAGGCAATTTGGAGCAATTGTCACTGGTTGTCTCTTATAAGAGTGCATTTATGATCTACCAGAAAAGCATAGTCTTGCCTGGCCAATATCCTGGTAAGTGCCTGCTGCCAAAGTGCAGGAGGTAATTTCCATTTGACAGCTGCCAATTAAAAAAAGTGGCAAAGACAGTTTTGCTCCAAAAGGTGGGGGTGATGTGCTCACCTCCCCAGCAGTATGATTTTCTAGTTTTCAAATATTGCCCTGCTCTCCATGTTTTCCACCCTTCACCAATTCTCTGCATCCCACACCTTTTTTGTGAGAGCTTACTTGTGACACCTGTCAAAAAAGGGTTATTTTTAAAAATCTGACTGCTATTTTTAATTTTTTGAAAGGGAAATATATGCAAATTTCATGGCTGCTTCAGACTTCTGGGGCAGTCAACAATGGCAGTAGCACAGCTGAGATTGCCAGGAGCTGCCACCATTTTACCACCCCTGTCAAGCAGTTCAGTCACTCTTCCTGCAACACACAGAGGGATCAGTCTCCCAGGCTTATATAACAAGACTAAGAATCAGGCTTCAAGAACTCTTAGAATAAGCCGTTGGTTACTAGAGTAGCTTTATTTATTTATTTAGAAAATTTCTATGCCGCCCCATTCGCTGAAGCCTCGGGGCGGCTCACAAATATATCAATTAAATATTATACAATAAAAATATAAAACAAGTTAACAATATAAAATAAATCGCCCTGGCCGAAGAATAAAATAAATAAATAGTATTAGCAGTTAAAATGACGTTTGAATAAAAAGGTCTTCGCCTGGCGCCAAAAAACAAATAACAACGGCACCAGGAGGACCTCTCTGGGGAGCGCATTCCATAGGTTGGGCGCCACTGCAGAGAAAGCCCTCCTCCGAGTACCTACCCTCCTAATTTCCTTCACGGAGGGTTCCCGGAGAAGGGCCTCTCCCACAGATCTCAGGGGGCGGGCAGGCATATATGGACGTAAGCGCTCCTTCAGGTAACCAGGACCCAAGCCGTTTAGGGCTTTATAGGTCATCACCAACACCTTGAATTGGGCCCGGACTTCAATCGGAAGCCAGTGAAGCTGATGGAGGACTAGAGTCATGTGAACATAACGCCCAGTCCCCGTCAGCAGCCTGGCAGCTCTATTTTGAATCAATTGAAGTATCTGGACCGTCTTCAAGGGTAGCCCCACGTAGAGCGCGTTACAGAAGTCAAGGTGGGAAGTCACCAACGCATGTGTCACTGTCACCAGGCAGTCGTACTCCAGGTAGGGGCGCAGCTGATGGATCAGCCGAAGCTGAAGGAAAGCGCTCCTCGCCACTGCTGTCACCTGAGCTTCCAATGAAAGCTCTGGGTCGAGGAGCACTCCCAAGCTGCAGACCTTGTCCCTAAGAGGGAGTGCAACCCCATTCAGGACTAGGTTCAATTCACCCTCACCGAAGCCCGATCCGCCAACCAACAGGACCTCCATCTTGTCTGGATTGAGCTTCAGTTTATTGGCCCTCATCCAGCCCATTACCTCGGCCAGGCACCGGTTCAGCACAGCCACTGCCTCACCTGGATTGGTGGAAAACGAGAGGTAGAGCTGGGTATCATCAGCATACTGATGATTCCGCAGCCCACACCTCCTGATGACCTCTCCCAGCGGTTTCATGTAGATGTTAAACAGCAAAGGGGACAAAAAGGACCCCTGCGGTACTCCATGGCATAGCTGCCATGGCGCAGAGCCATAGTCCCCCAGCACCACCTTCTGGAATCGGTCATTGAGATAGGAGTGGAACCACTGCAAAGCAGTGCCTCCGACCCCCAATCCCGCTAGCCTATCCAGAAGGATACCATGGTTGATGGTATCGAAAGCCGCTGAGAGGTCCAGAAGAACCAACAGGGACGCACTCCCCCTGTCCTTCTCCCTGCACAGGTCATCGTACAGGGCGACCAAGGCAGATTCAGTACCGTACCCGGGTCTGAAGACGGACGGAAATGGGTCCAGATAATCAGTATCATCCAAGAGGGTTTGGAGTTGTCCCGCCACCACCCGCTCCAACACCTTGCCCAGAAACGGGATGTTGGCCACTGGTCTATAATTAGTGGCCATCTCTGGATCCAGTGACGCTTTCTTCAGGACCGGTCGGACTACCACCTCCTTTAAAGGGGCAGGTACCTGACCCTTCCTCAGAGAAGCGTTAACCACTTCCAAGATCCAGATCCCAATCCCGTGTTTGGAGTTATTTATTAACCAAGACGGGCAAGGGTCCAATAGGCAAGTGGTGGGACGTATTCATCCAAGCACCTTGTCCACATCAGCAGGACGCAATAACTGAAATTCATCCATTAATTTTGGACCAGACGGCGGCATTGGTATCTCCCCAGAAACCTCTGAGTCACTAGTAGAGCCTAGCTCGTGACGAATCTGAGAGATTTTCTCCCTGAAATGCTTGGCAAAGTCGTCACAGCGGGCCTTCGAGGGTGGAACCAGATCTTTCTTAGGACCTGGACGAACCAGGCCTTGCACCACTCGAAAAAGCTCCGCTGGACGGCATTGTGAAGAGGCAATGGAAAAGGAGAAGAATTTCTTCTTCGCCGCCCTCATCACCACAGCATAGGCCCGATAATGGGCTCTCAAGTGTGTTCGGTCAGATTCATCCCGTGATCTCCTCCACCTACGCTCTAGCTTGTGGATGACATAATAAATCACCCCATGGGAAGTAGCCTCTGTTTTGGTCAACAACAATCCACTATGACTAGTTACCCACAATGGTTTGCCGTGTGGCTCAAACCCAGTCTCTCTCTCTTTTCCAGTGGATTGTTTGTTTTTACAGGAGTAGGCTGGATGGGAGATACTCGTATTTACAGAATCACATGCCTCAAAAGGAAGCCACCCTGGGAGAGAGTTCTGAATCACTGCATCCCTTTCTCAGTGGAGGATAAGTTGACATGGCCCTGAAACTGTCACAACCTACCCAAAATAAACATGGAAATGTACAAGAGCATATTCTGGTGGATGTGAAGAAGATACTGAGGAAAAAATAATATGAGATTTGCATTTAAAGCCATAAGCCTCCCAGGACTCTATTTCACAAATATGATTACTTTGGCACTGAGCGCCTCCTCAGAAAAATCTCATAAACCAGGGAACCATAGCTAATCCACTAATCTTATATGCATGGCATTCAACAGTCAATTTTACAGTGACCATTACTGGACATCAAACTACCATCTTCTTAATTTGAATATGTTATCCTCAAATGTGAAAAACTACATCCCTTGGCTTATCCCTTCAAAACTAGATATAGACATTTGCATTGCTTCATATCAAATTATGAGACCTGACAAATGTGCCTGCTTGGCACATGCCTGGGCTGAACTTGGCCTTAGCTAGATGCTCCATGAAACTGATCTGCAAAGTAAGTGCCAGTGATTATGTGTAAAATGAAAAAAGAGCCAGCAATGGGATAGCCTGTCCAAAATAAATGAACAGGAATCTGTCTTTGAGTAAGTTTGTGTAGAGATTCCTAAGATATAAGCAGTTAGATCCTACAGCAGCCTTCCCCAACATGGCAGCATCTAGATGTGTTGGACTTGCAAGTCCCCATCCTCCCCTACCAACTGGGGATGATGAGGTGTGTAGCCCAACACACCTGGAAGGCAACAGGTTGAAAGAACCAATGAAGTGTGGTGGAAACACTAACCTCTAAGCCAGGGGTGTCCAAACTTTTTGCAAGGAGGGCCAGATTTGGTGAGGTGAAAATGTGTGGGGGCTGACCATTCAGCCTGACATTCTTTGAACCATTAACATTAAATGCAAATGAACTATTTTATGAAAGACTAAACAAATAACTTAACTGCACTAATATGAAGGGTGATACTGAGATCTCGACTGCATTATATAGGCCAGGTCTGGCTCAAAAACAGTGGTTTTGATGCGCAAGATGTCACACAGGTGAAAGTCACTTAGTCTCATCCTCACGCGATTCTTGTTAATGTTCATAACTGAGAATGTCTTCTCGCACAAGTATGTCAAACCAAACAAGCTCAGCATTTTCTTAGCAAATGTTCGAATCTCTTGGAACCTGTCTTTATCCAGCTGGCGGTAAAAGTTGACAAGAGGGAGCTGTTGGTGCCAACTGCGACACTCGGCGTCACACTGCAGCTCAATGAGCTCCAGCTGCAGGTGGTCTGGAATGTCATCAGGGTCCACAGAGAAAGGAGATGAAAAAAGCGTGATCTCCTTTTCAATAGCTGCAAAATCCCGAAAGCACTGTTGAAACTCCTCAGTCAGAGATGAGATGTCTGCTTCATACCTCCTTATTTGCGCACTCATATTGTTCTGTGGAAAACTGGTCATTATTTCCTGAAGCGATGGGAAATGTGTGGTATTGGGCTGCGTTTGTGACAGGTGCCTTTGGAAAAGTAGCAGCTTGGTCCCAAAGGCTTTGATATGTGAATACAGTTGGCTTACTACTGCATTTTGCCCCTGAAGGCTCGTGTTTAGCACATTCAGATGTCGTGTTATGTCAACTAAAAATCCAAAATCAGCCAGCCAAAGAGGATCAGATAGCTCTGGCATCGGTTGTCCCTTTTTTGCCAAGAATTG